AAAAGATAATAAAAACGAAGGGACAACGAAACAGTCACGCACGTATAATTCTAACATAGATGGCTGGCACGGAGCCTTCTGGACGATAAGAGTTCAACGACAGAAACCGGGGGTACAAAGAAAACCACGTTTAGGAGAAAACCTGTGCTCCACACTACAGAAGTGCCGTCGTGTGCAGCACCCCGAAAGAATGACGTTCAACCGAGATCTGCTCGAAAGTCGAAAGTCCTCCAACCCAAAGAAACGTAAGGGACAGCGAAATATGAATCGCCTGGGTGAGCGCTAGCGACTAACTTGGATAATCTTCAATTAGCAGAACGGAGATTAAAAATCCAGAAATATCTGAATTCTATTTGGTCGCACTAATTATCTCGATAAATATCCGGCATGCCTTTTTTGTGCTGGGCTGCATGTGCACAAACGAGTAGTTGCTGGATGCTGAGCGCTACAATTAGGCGCTGACTCGTCAGTGACCAAGCACTGTAAGGCTGTGTCACGCGTCTTCTCATGCACATAGCAGGGTATCTCGGCCCCAACCTCACAGCACGGGCCCCTCTCCTTTGACTCCTATGCCACAGTGGATCACCATCGCGCCTGATGCCCGCAGCCATTCTCGCATGGGAAATGTTGCTTTAATGCCTTGCAATTGTTGGCATACTCCATCTGCCGGATGTCACATTTGAGGCCGACCTCGTGGGCTAATGCAGGGGCTGACGATTTAAAACCGATAGGTGCTATCTTTGTTTGGCCAGACGCTCAGGGGCAGAGGGTATGGTGATGGATGTGTGCAGAAACGAGTGTCGTGGGTCATCATCAACTAGCAGCACAGGGGGTCAAAGGTGCGTCAAAGATTCAATGTTTAGCCATACTTTGAGATGCAGGTTGACGAAAAGATACTGGAGGGCGATACTAGGATCGCGATAAACCATCTTGGGATTGCAGCCATTTAGCCTAAGTCGGCTGAACATGCAGTCCGAGATTCCGCACCGCAAGCGCTGTCGCAGGACTTGCCCGGCTTGGCCTTCCTCTGAAGAGACACAGAGCCAAAGAGCCGAAGAACTTTCAAAGGAAGCGCTCGGAAACGAAAAAAGCAAAAGCAACTATGCATCACTACGCTAAAATTCGCTTTCAGATCTATCATGATCTATCTTCCAAGCTCCTTTCCTGTGTCCTTCTTTTCCTGCTCGGCCAAGTTTCATAAGGATGTTGCCTGGCTCTGCACGCCAGAGGTCCTTCTCCGGGAGAATGCCCTCACCCTGAGGCAGTGCACAACAAAAGCTCGCTGCAACCAATTGAAGACTTCTGGCTGGCCTGGCGCCGATCGATCAAGGCCAGTGGCAAATGTGACTGTGGATGTCGGCTGAAGATTATGCCTGCCGCGGTGAGGAATGAACAATGGGGACAGCTCCGTTGGCTGTCGTGGCTGTAGTGTTGGGACGAGATTGAATTTAACAAGTTTTACGATTAAAAGTCACAAGCCCTTTCTTTTCCAAACGAGAGGACCATGCGAGTGGGTTCTTCTGCTTCCTTTCTACCTACAGTGCACTATATTCTGGGCAGAGAACTGCAAAACAAACAAAATCCTGCTGGAACTCTTGGCATTTCCAGGTCGACGCCGGCGAAGGAGGATCGGATGAAGATCCAGATTCGGAAGCCGCAGCCCGGGGGGCAAATCCAGATGATCGTCTCAACAAGTCGCTTGCAGAATTGGCAGCTGCAAGGCCACTGAGTCACTGAAACAGCCCCAGCGTGCCAGCCGTGGTGATGGAGAGGGACGTGGAAGTGGACGTGGACGTGGATCAACAGCTGCCCACAAGGCAGCCGTTAGAGCAGCGGCAGCGACAGGAAAGGCAAAAGCCAAGGCCGCGACCAGGGCAAAAAAAAGGCAAAAGCAGGGGTTATCTGTGAACCAGCGGCAGCGGAGAATGCAGTTGATAAAGATCCTGCCGTCGATGAACCGCATTTGCATGATGGCGAAGCGGTCACCAGTGCAAGTGCCAGGGCCCGAGGACTCACATGTAGAGATGGAGAACAACGATGACGTTGCCGCGGCCCAAATTGAGAAGAACAAAGACAATACGAGAGGCGGAATAAATACAAAACGTAAGGATCAGAAGGACATGAAAACACTGAGCCTCACGTGATTGTGTGTGCTGTGTTCACCCTACCCTGAAAAGGACAAGAAAAAGAAGGAGAATAAGCACGGCAAGGACAGGGCGGAGAAGGCATTTGTTCAGGTGGAAAAGTTTCAGCCGAAGGGGCCAGCGAAACCGAAAGACAAGCCCAAGAAGAACAATGACCCTGTGGCACTTTGAGACTCAAGCCACCTACCTCAACAACCAAGGCGAGCAACTTCGTTCAGCGTAGCTTGGAGAAAATGTTTTCGTGTTTGTGCATGGTTGATGTCTGCTATCTGTCTTCGCATATTCAAAGCATAGACGCCTGCAGAGCAGCGTCGAATCCGACCAAGATGCTTGTGTCTTACATTTTTCGGGTCTGCTACTCAAAGACTGCAGCCTCAATGACGTACCCCTTCAAGTTTGACTTGTTTTCGAATTGTTTGAGTTATGAGGAACCGTAGTATCGATGCGATGACTCCTGCTGCCTCAGGCCCTCAGGCCTGCTCCCAAACGCGGATGTGTATACCGTGTATACTATGTCTTCACATGCCTGCTTAGATGAAGCGATCGTCGACGGATCGTGTGTGTGATGAGCGACGTGTCGCACAGGCGTGGTCGGCTTAGGCTTGCCCAATAAAACCGCCCCCAAGCCGAAGCAAAGAGCAACGCCCGGTCATGGCCAACTGCAGACTTCAGACTCTGGCAAATTTCGACGACTGCACTTGAGACTCACCCGTGGCAAAGGGGTGCCACGAGAAATCGCTGACCATGGCTGACGCATGCCGTGATTTGACCAAGAATTCTGGCATGCGTGCATCTATGTGCATAGGTGCTGTTTTGCAGCGTTGGTGTGACGTCTGTAGGGGGTGTAGGGCATATTGCTTAGTGTCTTTTAGGTGTTTAAGGCTTCGGTTTATGGGTGTTTTGGGTATTGTTCTTTTAGTAAATTTAGGTTTTCAGGCTATTCGGGTACACTGTATTCAGCTTCATTTTTGTTTGTCTTTTAATGTTTGGGCTTTCTGCTGTAAGGTGTGTCAGGGGGTCTTTTGGATTTATGGTTATATGTTGTATGGTTTCGAGTTTCGGTAGGGGGCCTTACAGGAGTCCAGATTTTCAGCTTCAGGGTTTTCAGAGTGTTGAGTTCAAGTTTAAGTGTTTTTGTTGGTTTTGCAGGAATTGCGATTCAGAGTTTAGGGCTCATGTTTTCGTTTGTGTGCACCCTTTTGATTTGGACTTGGTGTTTTGTTGATGAATGGTTTGGGGCTCAGGCGTGTTTGTGTCACACGGGGATTCAGTATCTTGGTCTGTATTCTGGTTCAGGGTCATTTGGGTTTACGCCTAGATTTACATAATTTCGGGCTTTGCAGTAGCTCGATTCAGGATGGTTGATGCAATGCGGAAAAAGCTTCACACACGGCAAGCAACAGGCAATTTAGACGCGTTCTTGCCTTGGGCGAGTATTTCGGAAACCTTATTTCCCACTCGGGCTTAAAAAAAAAAAGACTTTTGAAATTTAGCAGGCTGGCTCGGAATGCTCGGAAGCCTCGCCAACCTCCTCTGGGTTGTCCAGGATATAACTGAAGCTTCTTTGCCAGGGAGGAGAACTCCTGCCATGGAAGGAGGGGCCGGAATTTCGACACCATCATCGACAAAAGGATATCCGTCCGTATCCGTCCTCACGAACATACGGAATGAGCTGGTATCGTCCAGACTTTCTGCCGGTAGACAATGCAGAAAGGGTGTTCACAGACTGCACCACCTCTCCATCCTGCAGAATTCGGTGGACGGTGGCCTCATATTCATCCCTGTCAGGGCCACAGCACCGATAAGCCAAGCCTTTGCACTTTTGTCTAGGGAGAGTCTAAGAGGCAAGAAGTTTAAGGCTCCACTCGCTGCCTCAATAAATATGTGACATCGTGCAGCTCGCCATGAGGCAGTTTGCTGGTTGCCATCTTCTCCAAAAGCTTGAGAATGGGAGTCCCTGCCTGCGAATCAACACAAACTCGCGCCTTCAACCTGGACTTCAAACATTGACAAGTCCACGCTGCGAACGCTTAGCACATCTCAACACGTTGAACACATATTCTCACAAATCAAGACAGAAACTGCGCATCAATTACCACGCTGGAAGGCTCGTTCGAGGCTCTGTGGGTCGGCCTTGACGTTTGTGCCTTTGGTGTCCACGTGCCGTGTGCGCGGGGCTTCTGGCGCTATGCAGTCTCGCTTCGAGAATGTCGAGACTGCAGAGCCGTGCCGTATCCAGTGATCCCAGCCCGTGCTTGGAAATCGGGGCCAGGATTCACGCAACAGCGGCCACGTGCTGTTACCTCAGCTGCCAAGAACATCCAAGCGAATCGAACAAAAAACAAACTCAAATCACAGATCAACCGAGACGTACCCAAAGCCAGCACGCCAAGTCATGCAAAGTCTCGAATCATCCAACCCAAGCCCGGAAAATAGTCTGTTCTGAACAGACGATGCTCATCGGGCGCGAGCTCAAGAAAACCATTGTCGTTCCAAGCAGAGACACACCAAATTGAAGGGTCACGTTCCAGTAGTGGTGCCGTGAGCCGGAAGTACCAGAGAAAGTCTGGTGCCAATGTGAGATCATTCTCAACAAAGATAGCAAATTCAAATCCAGCCACTTCGAAACCTCAAGGGCAAAAGGGCGAGTGGCTCGAGCTGGCACTCGAAGTCGAAAACAATTTTAGGGCACATACACTTGTGTGGCTCTCTGGCTCGAGCAGAATCTTACGTGGCTTTCGTGCATGGTTTTTGTTGCAATTCTTCCTGAAAGGCTGTTTACGCCTCGCAATCCCACCCACATACCTGTAGGACATAGGCAGTTCACTTGCGTGTTTAGAAAGTCTGGCTTGAAACAAGGAATTCACACGTGCCGCAAAAAATGCTCAAAGTGGCCTGTCTTTGTGTCCAATGCTGTCGAAGGAGCTTTGCGAAAGGGCAAACTTGAAATGCGCGGCGATCTTTGCTACCGCAACCTCAGAACCATTGCGCAGAGGCTCCACTAAGTAGGTCTCTCGCTAGGCCGGGTCGAGCATGGCCAAGTGATGCCAAGCGATACCAATTGCGCATGAATATCATGGGACCTTGAGACTTGGGTCGTCCGGCTTGCGCCAAACGTTGATGTTAAACTTGGAATACTTGTCAACCACAGCCTGAGGGCCATGCCAACGCCATATGCACCAACTTGGGACAACTTTCTACGACGTCTTACGAATTTTTGCTTCGGATGAATGACATCGGATCGGCCTCCATCGTTTGGAAGGACTCTTTGTGATCCAGGGAGACCACGGAGGCCACCAGGCCAAGGTCCGGCTGCTGAGCTAAGGACTCCAGGCACCTCCACGAAGAAAAAAGAGACTGAACAAATTGGTGACATTAAGATGACATTAACAAAACTGAGAGAACTGATAGAGCTTTCAGCTTAGAGAGCTTTCAGCTGAGCGCTTTCAGGGGACACCCACTCAACAACTTCGAGGGCACCGTGCAAGACAGTCTGGGCGATCGTGGGCCAAGATGACAATGCCGGCCCGGCCGCCCTCGAGTGGAGACATTCCCGATGTCTCCAGCGGTGCCTCCAAGTTCGGGGGCCACTCCGAGCCCATTTTTGAGTCTCTCTGTCTGAGTCCCTCTCGAAGCCCGCGTACACAACCCTACTTAAAACGGCTTCTGAGAAAAAGCACATGCGAGTGACTGCCAAAAACAGCTGGTGGGTGCTAATGGACGCAACATGAGGGGTGTCGCTTTTCAAGTGTTCCCATCACTTTACAGGGCTTTAGCATCAGTTATGAACGTTTCATGTCTGCAGGTGTCGCTTTGGGCAAATTCAAGGCTAAAAAGCCCACCCAACGGTTCCCTAACTCGGGGGTGTCGCTTTTCAGGTGTTCCCTTCGCTTTACAGGGTTTTGGGCATTCGTGTCCACCCCTTGCTTGCTTGAATGGCTGGAGGTTTTGGCGCTTGCTCATGTGTCCGCGGTTTCTTGTGAGTGTCTCCAAATGAGTTGACTACGGTCATTTTACTCAACCAGCCTCAACTGCAAACAAGATGCTGAAGTTCTTTGAGACCTCACTGCATACTCAAGTCAAGGAGGCTTCTGCTGGACTTATCTCAGTCTCGAATGTCTACCTCCATAGGTGCTAGATCTCCAGCAGTCGGGTCCACAGGTCCAACGGCAGTGAACCTCACGGATTCATCTCATTCTCATCGCAAGATTTCGCCAAGTTGCATCGCGACCGTCGAAGAGCGAAGTGCATCTCCTGTGGCCCTGGGGGATCAGAAAACTCGTCGACTCATGTCATCTCGGCTTGGGCTGTTTTGGACCAACCTGCAACCGTGTGCCTGACCGTGGCGGCATGAAAGCCGACAAAGTGCGCTTGGCGCAGTCCTCTGAGTCCTTCGCTGACAACACTGAATAACACTGACTCTGCCTTCGAAGAGCGACTTGTAAGATGCTCCTCCTTTGAAGTCCCCTTCGAGCTCTCGGCCTGGGATTCGCATCGCTTGGTTCTCCAATGTTCTCCACTCTTGTGGCGGTCCAGCTCTCCAGGGGTCATGCCAAGCTCTGTGTAGAGAAGTATCAGAGCCGTTAGGAACGTCAGCAAAACCTTGATCTCAAAACCGGGTAGGCCGGGTAAGCATGGTACGCAGTGGCACACGTCAAATGGCATACGCATGGCGTTCATCACTGTATGATATGGTTGAGGCCGCAACGCTGCCTGCCAGTAGCAAGACGGTCCGCTGAAACGCACCTGCCAGTCGACACACAACCCGAACCTAGGCAGAGCGAGAGAAACAGAACGACTGAACGGCACACACAAACCAGCCAGCCAGCTGCACTAGAGCTACAAATTTCTGTGGTTGGCCTTTTCGAGCATCTTTGGTGCAACGTGCGTTGAACGGTTCAAGTCACGCCTGCGCAAAGGCCTGAATGCCTGGACTTACGCGCCATTGCTCTGGACTCAAAGAGCCTGATGCGTAAGACTAAAGTTGCCACCGCATGAGCTCCCGGTATCTTCTGGTAAGTCTTGCCAGACCAATGCCCCTTTCTCACCATCTCGCACGTTTCGACCATTTAAGACTTAAGACGTTTCAGCGAGCATGAGAAAAGACACGTCTGGTGAACTAGAACTGAAGCGTTAGAGGCCTGTCCCAGGAAGTTCCCTTAGCAACCCTACTACTTTTCTGTTCTTCAAAGATTCACTTTATTCACGGAGGCTTCTATCTCTTGTTAAAGTACTAAGTGAACAGGCAAGCGCTCCAGCGTACTTCGAAGCTAGGTTGAAAAGGGACTCTTGGAAGAAAGCCATTAGGTGTGTGTAAGTCTCTTAGAACTTTTCAACTTCAGATATTGAAATGTTGCAACCTCCCAAATAAGGTGTCCCTTAGCTTGAGCCGACGCATGGCATCGCTCATGATGAGCATGCAAACAAGTGCAGTGAGCACTTGTGAGGTGAGGCCCCAGACGAACCACCCAGCGCAACCACACTGCATGGGTAGCGGAGCGCGGTGCTACCAATCCTTCGTCGCGTCAGCTCGACTTGACTTGGACTTGCACAGGTCTGCACAACAGGACGCTGGAACCTTTTGAGTTTTCGTCGAGGTGGCAGCGCCTCCCCTCTTTTCCTTGATTACTCTTACATTTTCCTCGTCGTGGCGCAGAGCTTGAGCAACATGGCTGATAACAAAGAAGGCGGGTCGGTGCCTTTTGTCGGAGGTACAGAAGGGAGGTTGCCGGGTTCGCGCAATCGACGACCTGTACGCCTATAAACGTCGCTACTGCGCCGGCTTCTGGGCAAGCTATCGGGACCTACAAAGTTGCTGGCGATGGTTTGACGCACTTCACACTTGGAATCTCTGTATGCATTCTGTATATAATGACTCTTGACGAATCTCTTGAGACATCTCGGCGGGCTGATGGCAGCTACAGAACATCGTTTTGAGAGAAACACAAGTCTCAAAATGTCTCAAAATTACAGATCTGCACGACACGGCTGAGCAGTTGTGTGCAGTATGCAGTTGTCTTTCCAGGTGTTCAGCATGCAGAGTACACGGCGGGCAAGCAGTGTTCATGACAAGATGCTTCAATTGTCAGCTTCATTTGTCAGCTTTGCTACGTAGTAATTACCACACATGTCAATCTGCCACGAAACTGCTGAAGCTTTCAAGTTCCTGGCGAGTCTGCATGCGATCGAATTTGACCATCATGGATAGAATGCCAAGCCCTCTTGAACTTCACTGAGATGCATTGCATTGCCCCGCCATAGCAGGCAAGAATGAACGCGACTGTCGCCAGGAACGTGAAGACTGCTCGCCAGAATAACGGTCGTTGCTCTGTGAAACGTCTGAACGTGAGTCAGGATCCTGGGATGAGGTGCCACAGCACTCCACTGTCAGTACTCCTTTTTTTCTGCGCCTTGAGAAACCACGGCATGTGTGTTCGCAAATCCGTTGCCTGAAAGTGAATGAGGCCACTTGCTCAGGGGCATGCTCCTTTGGACTTTGAAGATGCCAATGGACGAAAAGGATGGGCCTCAGTGAAGAACGATCCCTCATTCCGCAGCAACATGTCTGTGTGTGTGTGTCTGCCGCTTATGTAATGGATTGACCTGCTCTGTGCTCGCGACAGGCGGCGATGCTCTCTCATCCACAGTAAAGGTCACCTCGATCCGTCACATCGGATGTGCGCCGCGTAGAACAGTTTCACCGGCGAGAGCTGGGGAGTGACGGGAGTGATCTAATTCCATCCGGGCTGCAAATCTCGCAGGGCATGGAGAGCGTGTCCCGGGCTTGTGCAGTATGCTGTGGTGGCTCGCCCTCCGGATCACTCTCGGCTCTACGTGTTGATAACTGACCCATCCGCAAGAAAGATCCTAACTAATCAAGGCAGCACCAAATCTGCAAAAGAGTCAACTCTGTACTTGCATGCCAGGCGTCGAAGAAGGTGATGGGCAGGTGTGTGTGTCATCAAGCCTCCGTAGCTATTCAGTGGACACACTTGAGCCCACCGAGACGAGCTACAGGTGTTGGGAGGAGCTGGTCGGGTGCTGAATTCTGGCTGCTTAATAGAAGTCACGTCTTGAGGCGCAGTGCTGTTGAGCTGCCGATACCCCTGATGAAGCAGTAGGGTCGGACAGAGGGTTCCACGACTGATTTCACAAGAGTCCTTTTGCCCAACGGCGAAGCCTCTAGCCACCCCAAAAAGTGAGCATCAGGAGCCGCCCAGCAACCCCATGGGCCGAGCATAATGGGCATCAAGCTCCTGAAGGGAGCCTTTGTGCTTTACTTGTGCTTTACACTGTTCACAAAATTTACACTGTTTACACATTCTGTCCCATTCTGCTAGGGGGCAAATTCGGCAAGGACGGCAAGGAACTCTCCGGTGGAGTAGCGCACGCCACATAGTCCTGCAATTCAAGCAGTATGGCTCAGTATAGATGATTTGCACAGCTCCCAACATCTGCCGGGTGCTGCAGAGATCCAAGCCGTGCTATCTCCTGCAGGACACGTGCCTTTTGCATCTGTTCCCGCTGCATGCCTCACGCACGCAAGCTGCTAAAAAAAACCAAGGTCAAGGCAGGAAGTCAACAAATTGCCGAACAAATGAAAGTACCCCCTCGTCCATCCCCTCCCCATCACGCCTGCCCCCACCCCATCTGTGGCTTAAGCCCCCACCGCCCCCCATCACGCCGCAAACAAAACATGAGATGCACCCGTCACGGTCCCGATTAGTAGTCAAACGAGAACCCAAACCAACAACCGAGATGTGTTTGAACATAATTCTCACAGAGAGGCCTAGGCCATCAGCGTCCCATCGATCCCAGAATCTCGGCCTGAGTAACTGAGTAGATTTGAGTTGGACAGGAAGGTAGTATCTCAAAGGCAAAACGGCAAGCTCACTCTGGCATTATGGCAGCTTTGGTGCTTCGTGGTTTCTCGGTTGCAGCCATTGCAATCTTCCATGTCGACGTCCGAGGGCAGCGAAGGCAACTCTGTCGGCCTTTGCGACGGCCAGGCGACTTGACTTTAGCTGGCAACTAGCCGATCAAGTGCATTCCAATCAACAGTAACCAGGAGAGTACTCTTGTCCTGCCTCGACCACGGCACCACAGAACAACGGTCCAGGTCATCATTTGCCCTCTCATGGAACGAGAACAAACTCCAAGCGCTAATGTGGTCCAATGTGCCCACCTGGCCTGCAAGAATCCAACGCTAGATCGGGATCGCCGGGCCTTTCATCAGACGGCAAGCTTAAGCGTAACATGCCCAGACCATCCGATTTGGATTTTTCGATCGACACTTGGATCTCAAGCACGAAACACTACGTAATTGGTCTTGCTTATCGAGTTGGCAATGGGTATTTGTCATGTTATTTAAGCTGACAACCGTTTGATGTTTGCTGACTACCATCTTTCGTTCAGTTCAACGCACAGACGTTTACTGGACTTGATTAAAACAAACCTTTTTTTAATACAACAACTCCATAGTATTCAATATTGAATTGAACCACCCGTTTTTCAGTCACAGGCCAGCTCCATCAACATGTGAACATTCTTGATACTCATCAGACAACTTATGAACAAGTTCGTTCTTTGGTTCTCGGCACAGCTATGGCCTTTACCACCCAAACCATCATGACCCTTGTGGCCCGGCACCCATCGACGCAGCAACTCATGGCCCCGAAGGTTCCAAACTTCATTACGACGAACAAAAACGAAGTGTCCTATGATGTCCTATGATCCTTTTTGGACCCTCCTCCCCAAAGCGCCGACCCGCAAGCACAAGCCTGTACTCCGACACATTTTTGAACCTTTGGTGCCCAACGGTTCATGGTATGTATATATAGATATATATTGTATGTATGTATGTATGTATGTATGTATGTATGCCTTAACGAGTCTTAACAGCCCATGTTCTGGCTCGCGGATTTTGGCGATGTTGCTTCGACTTTCTTTTCTGAGGGGCTGCAGATCACTCCAACAGGCCTCTGTCTTTTTCACAGGGTGGGAAGTTTCCTGGGGGGATTCTGCATGCACTCGAGATGGCTGGAGCTAGGATTGGAGACATGTAAGAATGCGGCCCAGCACGTGCTGGTGGCCGTCCAAAGTTTGGTCTGGTCACCATGAGGCTGGCCTCGGCATGATGCTGGTGTCCAATGAACAGCTCACAGACTCATTTACGTTCTGGTAGTGCCTGGTGCAGGTGCTGAACACACTCTTGGCCACACCAGTGCCCGCAGAGGAGTGCCTGAAAAAGACATATGCGCAGAGCTGACACATCGAAAGTTCGAAAAGTTCGGAACACTGACGGATCTTTCCATCGACGTCAAGGCCTGCGAAGGCGAGGATGTGTTTTTCACATCGCGCCTCACGGCCGCGGTCATGGATTTATTTGCTTCGGTTTTCCTGCATTTTCCTCCTAGACTTTCCGAGACAGGCTTTGCAGTCTGGATTCCAGGTCAGGACTGCCAGTCTGTGTCCTTTATACTTTATACGTGATTGTAAAGACTATGACTGGAAGCACTTGCCAACTGGACACTCCAAGTTGCCTTCAAGCCACATCGCGGCACCCACGCTTCAACCATGATTCCACCCTTGTTCCACCACGCCCCGGGCCCCCCCCCCCCCCCCCCCCAGGGTTCTTTTGAAGGACCTCCCTTCAGGCTCAAAAGCGAGCTGAAGCACGCTTTATTGCTGGTGTGGAGTCTGTCAAGTCGTGCGTCTTTTTGCATGTCGGCAGCTCGGCCTGACACTACAAACAGCTTGAATGGCTTAAATGGCTTGAATTTGAAGATCCCCTCTGGCATCTTACCCGCAACAGCCAATGCCAATCATCCCTGAAAGGCGAAAACACCCCCGACGCTGTGAGAGAGAGGGGGTGGCTTTAGAAGAACTTCCATGTGTGAACAGGATTGAAAACCAGTCCGGCAGTGGGCATCAATGCCAGTCACATTTGCGAGCTGCGGCGAGCATTGCAAGCACGTTGCCAGTACTTTGAGAATCGCGGTGAGCACATTGCAAGCAATCACATTGCACGCACATTTAAGCATGTTGGATGCGGTATGCAGTCAAAAGCACCACGCTGCAGCATTAATATTTCTAAAGATATGCTAACCGTTAACCGTTATCCGCAGCACAAGCTTGCAGCCACAACATGTCGGGGAGGTCGTCGTCTTTGCACTGCTTGAAGGTTCAGGGTCGCTACCAGGGTCCAGGTTTTTTTTTCGTATTTTTTCTGGTTTTTTTTTCGTATGTTCATGGTTTTGGGTTTAGGGTTTAGGGTTTAGGGCTTAGGGTTTAGGCTTTAGGGTTAGGGTTTAGGGTTTAGGGTTTCGGGTTTAGGGTTTAGGTTTTAGGGTTTAGGGTTTAGGGTTTAAGGTTTAGAGTTTAGGGTTTAGGGTTTAGGGTTTAGGGTTTAGGGTTTAGGGTTTAGGGTTTAGGGTTTAGGGTTCACCTGAAACCATAGAAAATACGAAAAAAAAAACCAGAAAAAATACGAAAAAAAAACCATCAGCCTCGCTACCATTCCCCTCTCGTGCCAGTGCCCGCCTACGTTCAATGTCTGTCCCGGTGACACTGTAACAACAAATACACCGTCGCCCTCAGCGTTGGTACCCATTACCTCTCTGAGGGAGGGCTCTCTTTGTTCCTCCGGGCAATTTGGCAATTCCATGCGAGGATGGCTGAATGAAGTCAAACCAACTGCTCGACTTGCGCATCCAGCCCTCACCCACCCTTTTGAGCTGCGAGGAGAGCTTCGAAACTGCGAACCGTGTTCAAGACAAGTGCGTCGTTTAGTTACACACAAACCAGCAAAGATGCACCCCACGTAGGTTGAAAAACGTGCTCTGCAGTTCGAGAGAGGGCAAGCTGACCACCTCGAGCAAACTAATAACATGCACATGAACTGCAGAAGAGCAAAGAGATATCAAGGAACAAGTAGCATCCTTGAGCCCTCAGATTCGTTCAGGTTCGCTCAATAGTTGAATCAAAGACCTTGCTGTCACTGTAATCCCTGAGCCGGGAGCAAAAAAAGGATGGGAAAAGGATGGGAAAAGGATGGGAAAAGGATGGGAAAAGGATGGGGTAGGGGGTGACGCAGGGTGGGGGTGGATGTCCGCGGGTCCATCGCCCGTGCCGAGCCCAGGGCCTAAACCTTTAAGCTGTCATCCCATAAGCCAAAAGAAAGTTCCGCAACTGTTTTTCGCAACGCAAACATTTCAAATGTCACCAGAAGGGCCTCCGTGACTGGTCAAGTCTAGAAAGCCCGTCCCGAGACCTCAGGGTTGCCATATGTTGCCATAGAATGTGGACACGATGGACACGACTTTGAGAACTGATGATTGGCAATGCAACGGCCAGCTCCCAAACGAATCATCCCTGCGTGATGTGCGTCTGGAATGGACTCTTGAAGCTAAGCAGCTAAGCTTAAGGCACCTAAGATGCAACAGAACCGAGCACCCAGCGAAGTGTGGGGCAGTCTCTGCTGCGGCAGCGACTGCGAGCTCACGAAAGCCTAGTGGCGCCAGGAGATCGACCGCCCAGATCCACAACAAACACCCTTTTGTCCAGTCACCAGTCAGGTCCCCCGGCAGGCCTGCAGGCTACTCCCACAGTGCATGCCGCAAGCATGGCAAAGAAAAGCCTGGCCAGGACTGCTTAATCATGCCGAAACTGTTCACGCAAAGAAGGCGCAGGAAACTTAACATGCTGAAGGCTATCTGTCCGGCAGGGCAAGAGAACGTTTCGACGCTCTTTGTGCAGGTCATGTGCGGTTATGTAGTCGTAGCCGAGAGTATTGCGTCGAGGGTCGTGTATTTCTTCAAGGCCATGAGAAGGGCAACATTGCTGTTTAATCCGAGCTCCTGTTTAATTTAACCCCCCATATTTAAAGAATTTTTTTTTGCCGGGATTCCCGCCGGAAGACTACTTTCCATTACGATGGATTTCGTATGGGCCAAACCCTCCACATTTAAAGAAATTTTTTTTGGGGGGGTTGTCAAATTTTGAAACTCTGCCTTTCGGAAAGCTTTTTTTCTTCTGCAGGGATGTTTGGGTCGATGTGAAACATCTGCTAAGCCGGGGCTTCGGTTTTCTGGAAGCTGAGGGCCTTCAGAAAGCAAGGATTTCTTATGTGATTGCTTACTGGAGGACAGAAATTTTCATTCTTTCCTGAGCTACCCCTTACAGGCTCTGGCCTCGAAAGGCGGAGTCACATTAATAGAATGGGGCCAGAATTATGGGAAGCCCTGGCCCGTGGGGAGCCCCGGTCCTGTAGTCTTTAAAGAAGCCTTAAAGCTTAAAAGGAAAAACTTTAAGGAAGCCGGGGCTTCGGTTTTCCTTGAATCTGACGGAGCCATGGTCCAACTATTGCGGAACCCTGCCTTCCTTATTGTGGGGGGGGGGGGGAGGGGGGGGGGGGGGGGCCCCACCAATTAAACAGGAGCTCGGATTAAGTAGTACAGTAGAATGGTGAGCGCGACCTTTGCTGCAGCTGCAGCAACAAGAAACTCACATTAGGCAGCAGGTGAGGCCGAGAACCAACTTTCGAAATTGAAAAGATGTTCTGCCGCGGTTCCCACCTCAAATTTCTACTGGCACTCAGCAAAATACTACTGTTAGGGAATGAAACCATGAATCGGCACCAGGAACGATATCTGCGAAAAAGGACGAACGGATCCCAAAAACTCAGTTCCCAGCGTGCCTGCAATGGCGAATGGTTTGCAGGTTCGCATGGCCTTCAATGAAGTCAACAAGTTTTTGGGGCTGCAGTAAACAGCTGAGGACATAGGGCTTGCGCGCTGGAGGTCCACTGCAAAGTAACTTTTCCGGCGGGATGCTGCTGGGAACTGCTGGCCTCCAGCCGCGAAAGACCACACAACACGCAATACCACCACAATAGTACCTATCACCACTTGGTTTGCGTTTCGACCTGGTTGACTTCTTTGTTTATCTTTTCTTCGCAGAACAGCTTTGACTGGGTGGGGCATGCTGAGGATCCTCCGTTCTTCCTGGCAGACAGATGTCTCGATGCTGGATGCTGTGCCCCGCATCTGGTGGGATTGTTGTCCCCATTCGTCTACCATGCATGTCTCTCAGATGTCTCGACGCTGGATGCTGTGACATGCGCCTGGTGGGACTGTTGTCTCCCGCTTCTTGCCCATACGCCTCCAAGATATCTCGACGCTGGTTCTTGTGGGACTGTTGTCTCCCATTTGTCCCCCATGTGTCTCCCAGTTTTTCAACACTGCATGGACTGTTCTCTCCCATTTATCTCCCATGTGTCCCCCATGTGTTTCCATGTGTTTCCATAATGTTCCGACATGTTTCGACGCTGGATGCTGTGACGCATGTCTGATGGGACTGTTGTTTCCCATTTGTCTCTTAAATGTCTCGAGGCTGGATGCTGTGATGCGCGGTTGGGACTGTTGTAACTGTTGTCTCCTGCCAATTGAAGATCTCCGAAACTCTGCACAGCTTTCCGAAGCTGAACCGCTTGAATTAAACACATGCTTAACCCCTACTAAGCACATCAATGCACAGCCATCCTGTATGTCGTAGGGTCATTGGTGTGCGCATCATTAGCCTGCGGCCATACCCCTGAGGCCGCCCTGCCGACATGTATGTGGGGTTACAGAACGTTTACAGCTATCGTCGGAATGCAAGGCACCGCGAGCGACTTTGCATGCCTGTGCCAGCTTTCGGCAGGGCGACGCAAAGCGAAACTTTCGAGTTCCAGTTCCATGTCTCTCAAATATCAAAGCGGGCACGAGCAGCCTGACCGAGAACTCTAGTTCGTCAGTTCAGTTTTTGTTGGGACTTTTAACAGCATCCGGCCTGTTGTCGCACAAGCTCGACTGCGAATGCTGCGCAGACACCTGTGGACACTGTAGGTGCCCTGCTTTTCCATTGGGCCAAGTTCCTGCAGCAAAAACTAGTAGCTTGCTACTGTAAGTCGACATGTCGCGGAACACTCGGACCATACGCCTGAGCTGCCAGGAGCCGGGGTAGGTGACTTTCAGCAGGCCACACCAACTGCCAGAGAGCCTGCATGCAAAGCTGGCACTCTCGTCATCAATGTGAAACTCACATAAGGGGCGGAGGTGACGTCCTTTCCAAAAGTAATCACGCAGGACATGTGCGACAATGTGCCATGGCCACAAGCGCAACCCACGACCACTTTCTCGATTGAAACCTCCTTAACAACAGTCCCCAAGTTAAATCTGTTCGTGCGCTCCGGCCCTTTTGCCCTTCCCCCCCTCCCCCAAGAAAAAATGGTCATCCCGAAATCCCACTCCGGCCCTCCGGATTTAAACGCGGGGTTGGGTGGGGGGAGTAGTCGAGCTCAATTCGTGAGCATGTGGGCTTTAGGCCTGAGAGCGCGGGCTTGGGGTTTACGTCTGAAGGTGTAAAGGTTTATATAGGCTGCAGCAGAGAGTCTAAAGAGTACGCAACACAAACCATGAGGGCCGCCGGAAGTGGGGGGCACACTTGAGAAAACTGAAAGCCTTCGGGGAGGACAGAGACAGAATCTCATTCGCCGAAAAAAACAGTGCTGCGCTGGCATGGTGCATATTCTTAACAGTCACCCAGCAAAAAAAGTCCTACAACGAGGTGCAGTCGAAAACTCCTGAGATGTCAGCCGGCTCCATGCATCTGAACCAGGCCCTGACCCTGAAAGGCACCCCGCAGTGAAGCAAGGGGGTGGCTTCAATCCGAAAACAACTAAGGTTATGCAAATTCGTCAGGTCCGGAGCGGGTTGGAAGCCTGCATGGCCCAATGACTCCTCAGCGCTTAAGCTGTAAGCAGATTGTGTACCGAAAGGCTGCACGGTAGGGATGGGACATGATGGGGCCACGGCACAGTGAGCGGAGGCCACACTTCTGGCCTGCAGGAAAATGTAGCGTGATGATGCATGCTGGACATTATATGACTTGACCATACATGTGCGTAAGATTGTGCAAGCTAGCCAGCTAGCCTAGCATCCATTTTTCATCTTCTGTTAGCTTTTCTTGGTATCAATTCGTACTCGTATTTACACGAATCATCAAGCGAAATGACAGAGCACTCATGGCGTTGCCTCGGCTCTTGGACACAAGCACGCTTCACCGATGCCTCCGCAATAAATTGCAAGCCTACGCACTGTGCTCTACTTGATCTGGCGCCAGAGCAACCTGGTTTTGGGGGAATCAAGCACTGTACGTTTGAGACAGTCGCTACAACTTAGTTTTGGTGGAGCCATTGTACCGTATGCGTTACAGTCGCAGCGGTGCAGGCCTGCACCATGGCGTCGTCATAGAGCAAGCCATCGAAGCTGCAGTTTAACAAGTTTTCGAAAAGTGAGCGTGCTCTCATTCGGTGACGGCATGCGAATCTCGAAATTTACTGATACCATAAAAGCTATTCGAGCCAGGATGCTTACACTCAGGATGTACCATTAAAGCAACAAGTTTGTAACCTAGCCGTAAGTGTCTTGTACCAAGTCTTGTTGACTAGATCATTGCGAGCTGTGAAGAGCTCTGCGCATATCCTGTATGCATCTGGATACTCACACTCTGTGAAAGGCGGTGATGGCTAAGCAAAGTCGCGGCGCAGTGGGAGGGCCGTACCGAATTCGTCCAATGCCAGCTACGAGCGCGGATCCCTTCATCTTTTAATCCCATCGTGGCTCAAGCTCGGAGCGCACGGAGGGCCTTGCGAAGGCTCAGAAAAGCTTAGAAGTTGTCCTGCCAGGAGGCTCCAACAAAAGCTCCCACACTTGGGCCGACCCACTCCAATGCTGTCCTTCTGCTTTCGGAGCTTTGCAAATGCCTCGCCAAAACATGCAGAGTATGATTTGGCACACAACTTCAACGGGAAACCTCGTCTCAGTTGTTTCCTTCCTCTGTGCATGTCTTGTTTTTCAAGGGTTTCACGCCCTACACAGCTTTAAACCAGTCCAACGTGCTGTATGAAGTTGGCCACATCTGCTTGCTTCGGTAGTTCCAGTTCGCGCCTTGCTAGTCGCAAGTACCGGTTCCTAACACTTGGAAATCTTAAAGGATTTGGACTCCAAGCCGGTTCCGCTTGTGGTGCCGCCCATTGAATTCTTGACATGCCCTTTCAGTCCTGTTGATACAACATTTATCATTGAGTCATGACGCCATGCATCTCTGCACCTTAGGCTTTGTTTTCACATGTGAACAGTCGTTGCAAACTGGCAATCAGCACACATCTGCATTTGTGCAGCCAATGGTAGCGACCTCCACTGGGCTGCAGCCAGGACAGATGCTCCTCGAACGATGGAGGGTGTCTTGAAAGGGCCTGCCCCCTGCGGCTTTACACTTTGGACCTTCAGACGGGAAAGCCTCAATTGAAAGAACAACCCCGAAACAAACGAAGGGCCGCGTCTCTCTAGATGCTTCTAGACGATGAAAATACTAACTGGAAGTGTTCACCTTGCTCTTCCCCTTGCGCTGACACATTGGGAAAACCAATGCAAGCAGCCAACCTCATGACCTGAGATGGTCAGCGTCAATAGCTTATGTCCGTTGCCTCATGCTGGCATCGGCAGACCGCAGAAAAGGGTTAATCAGCCATTCCTCGACCAGGCGGGAAGTGGGGTTGCAAAAAATCACAATATAAAAATAAACCTAAAACACAAATAAATGCAAATTCAAGTGTATATATATACAAAAGACATATGTACGTAGATGTATGATTGGTCACCCCCCCGGTCTAGGTATCCCCCTCTGCGGCGTGGTTGTGGGTTGGTGTTACTGTTAGGGTTTGGCTTAGTTTTGGGACGTAGGGTTTCCCCCCACGTATCGCTTTATTGTACAGACCCGTCGGTTACAAGAACAATGTTGCGCCAAACGCTTGCGGGGAGCTCCTTACACAACTCAATCAACTGCCTAGGAGGGTTTGTGGATAATCTGGATCGCAGGCACATTGCGCATCGTGGACGGCACAGTGAACTTGCGTTGAACCTGTCTAGGAGTGGAGCGTAGAACGGCGTAGAAATTATGGGCAGATGATGGCAGAGGTGCTTTCTGCAATGATGGACAGAGTGGTGCATGCCGCTCATGGTGCTAGGGTTGCACATCAATGTGATGTGTGGAAGTGTGCCAATCTGCATCACTCAAACCGATCCCTCTCATGATTCTTCGACAATTCGCTACTTTCGCCGAACCCTCTCGCCGCTCACAGCTGTGTGTGCCTTCTGCTCCTGCGCCCATCCCAACATCTGCCTGGCATCCGGACAAGTGGCACTCAAGACGCAACCTCCTCAACCGTGGCACATGTGTGTCATGCTGAAGCATGCTTACCTCAGAGGCACGAAGGCGCACACAATTTGGAAAGCATAGCCAAACTTGTGATGCAAACAGGCAGGCAATTCTCCAAGTCTTTGTTTGCGGCGTCTACAGCGACGGCGAACTGCAAGTTCTTCACCTGAACAGTGGAGCACAGGCACTCAGAATATGATAGAAAGTGCTTCTGCATGATCTTCAGCGGCTCCACTTGGGCGCCTGGCTGTGTACTCATGCCCAACATAGACTTGAGTCTCTGGTGGCAGCGCTCCCAGTCTCATGTGCAACATTGTGCAACTTACCCTGCCGTGGGCTGCAAGAGACATTCTCGGATAAGTGTTCGAGCTGGGTTTCTGGCACATTAACGAGGGAGTTGTGAAAATCCTGCGCGCAAAGTTCGCGGTTGAGCATTGTTCGGGCTTTGCATTTCAAGCAGTGTCTCGTAAAGAGAGAATGAAAGAAAAAGGCAGCCTTCGCCAAGAAGAGTTCAGTTCAAGGGTTACACGTTGTTCATGTTTGCAATCGAGGCCGACAACAGAATACTAAACATGCCCTTCCAAAATAAACAAAATAATTCCAGAAAATCTTACACCATAATTAAGCCCCATATGCCATCAATATGCTCTTTCTTATCATGGGCACGCACCACACATTCTGCTACACTAAGAACATGCTTCCAAGACTTGCAGCGTTGATGGCTACATTCTTGGGCTGGGCAGTGGCGAGGATCTGACAACCCTGCGAACTAAACAGGCGACATGTGCTCCCCTCCTCTGGTGTGCTCTCGAACATGCGCCCACATCCTTAAAGATTGCGCTGGCCAACGACCGGTGCAGAGCGGAAGTATTCTTTTAGCCTTCTAAAGATTTCAACTTTCAACCATGCTGTGATTCTTGGGAGGGGCGGCTGCTGACATCTGCTGACGCTCCTGCCTGACTTCGTGTCATTTGGCTGCATGGCTCGGGCGCAGACCAGCCACAAACAACGTATCTCCGGTGAAGACCAGACCCTGAACACGGTTTTCAAAGCATTCAGTGATGTGAAGATACTGCGAATTGTATGGTCGTCAAAATGCGACTGCTGATGCCATTCCATGAAAAACCAAATCGGAACGTTAGCTCCAATCACCAATCAGTTTGGAGATGGCCGGATGCGGAAAAAAGAGCGCAACCATTGGCTGCAACTGGGTTTATCAGGTTTCAACCATCGCCTGCAATCAGTCAATGGGTAGTTCTTGGTGAGCTAGATTCTACCAACGACGACCATGCGAACACGCCAAACTGAATGAACGAAACCTCGCTTTAAGAATCGACAGCTGCTGCTATTCGGTGCACTTACTGCAATGGAAGATTTGCAACTGGAGGATGGGGATGATTGAACACCTGTTCATCAGCCATACCTCAGGGGCAACACCCCGGACTGTAATCAAGTCCAGTATGACGGAAACAACTCCTGTCCGCCTTCTGGCTCGACTGCCGATTTTTTCGCCAAAAGGCACGTCGACACAATTGAAAGGAATCGTGTGTACCCTGAGCCTGCCAAACTCTACACATGCAATGACTTTATGAGAAGTCTTTCAATGTCATTCTTCTTAGCAAATTTAGACTGTTTGTTTATTCGATATTTCTTATGAACTTTATCTGTACTTCTGGATTCTTTCACTGTTTTCTTTTATTTGGGATGAGTGGTCAATTTCCTGTAGACAACGTTCTATCTCATGATCGTATCTTGACATGAATATCTTCTTCTTCTCCTCCTTCTCTGGTGTCTTGTGCAAAGAGCCCATGTGTTTTTAAACTTTGCTTGCAAAAATGCTTTTGCTGATCAAAGCTTATAAGTATGTGATCGTTGATTGAATTCCTTCTGCCCCCATCGGTGCCAGCCTGATTGTCGGTGGCATCATAGCAGTGATAGCATATAGATCCACGAGTGTGCCCGGGCGTGTGCAGGGCGCAGACCTTGGTGCAGACACGCACCAACCACAACGGCATGTGGGATGTGCGCGCAGTACCTCGATGGATCCAATGTTGAACTTGTCGGAATGCTCCTGCCGCGAGCACTTAAAGACCTTGCTAGCCTGCTAGCCGTTAGCAGTAACTAACCGACAGCTGCCAGCACCCCCACCGGTCCAGCGGATCAGTACAAGCTGCAACATTGTCGAGGCGCCCCCCATAGACTCTGATGCCCGGAACCTGTGGCGCAGAGCACACACGGATCAGCGTTCTGAAGACCACAGCAATCAATATATGTGAATATAATATATGTCAATATATGTTGCCATTTTCGCCATCTGCTCCTGCTTGGTCATCTCCTCATTCCCACCAGCATGATCGTAGTGATGATGGGTGGTGAGAACCTTAAGTTCGTTGCAGATTCCACAAGCATTTGTAAACATTTGTAATCTGAAACTCGTAAAGAGAGAGACTCTCAAGAGGAGGTGCTGCCACAAGCTGCACGCCCTCCTCCTTGGCCTTTGCAAGGACCAGGTGGGCCTGTGCGCCCCCGAGCGGGCCGCTGGTTGCCCCCGCATCTGGAAGTGCCCCTTGCTTACCCGACAAGGAATGCTTTCAAAGAAGAGATGTTTTCTGAGGTTCTAAGATGCGCCATCCATAGCCTTTCTGAGGAGGCCTTCTTCGACATTCTACGGGATGTTCGAAAGCAAAGTGGACGTAAAGAACAGAGATAAAATTGAGAGTAAATGTGCACGTTTCTGGCTCACCTTCGCCACGGGGTGGCACTGCTTCGTACGCACATCAGGCGACCCTGTCAATCTATGCCAGATGGCCTCTGCGGGGTCCACGCATGCTGCGACCTTCTTTGCGTCGTCGATTAACAAGTACCTCACTGGGGTTGCACGGCGGAAACATGCTCTGCACCGATACCATGGGCTAGCGAGGACGACAAACGCTGCTTGCCAGACGGCACAAGACATCAAGACTGCATGGTCCCAAATCCTCGTCGTCACAGAGACGGACAGAAACTACAAATCCATTGCCTATGTCTCCATTCAAATGCATATTCAACAGATAGTAACAGCACATTGATATATCAACACACAGACTTGGGCCAGCCCCATGGCAACTTTACGTTATATCTCCTTATGGAACTCCTGCTACAAGATTCTTCGGGCATTGCAGTTTCCAGGTCCAAAACCCATGGTTTCCACAACAAAGGCCTCCATCATGGTATCCACAACAAAAGGCCCTCTGCCAAAAGCCTGGTTTTACCCAACAAAAGGCCCCCCCCTTTTCACGTCCGAAAGCCATGTTTTCCTGCCTTAACCAGGCGACCACAGAACATCAGGAAGTGTGTTTTATGTGGAGGAAGAATGCTGGCGTGGCTTGTGGAAAACATTCTTAGCAGCATGGGAAACCACGTAGCATTAGGCATGTATGTGTGCGTGGACAAGGCCCCCGGAACTGTGGACACATGCTGTTGTGATGTGGAAAACTTACCGCTGGGACCGCAGAACGTAAGGCATGTTTAGGGACAAGGGCCGGGGAAGTGGGGAAGCAAAGTATTGCGACATGCGGAAAACATAGCCCGGGGACACAGAACATCGTGAAAGTCTCTGTGGACAATGTCCCAGAGTGTCACAACATGTGGACAACATAGCCCGGGAACCGCAGAACTGCAAGTACGTCTGTGTGGACCAGGGAGAAACTGTGGAAGCAAAGTGTCGTAATATGTGGAAAGCACGGCCCGGGGACCACGGAACACAAGGCATATATGACATGTGCGGCAACGGTCCATGGTGATTTTGCAAACAACAGACAACTACTTGGTAGCTTTCTACATGCCACAACCTTTTCCGCAACCTTGCCACAACCTTTCTTTCCGCAACCTTTCCGCAGCTTTTCGCAACCTGACGCTTCGAGTGTGTTTGGGCGCGTGCCCCTTCTATGGGCCGAGGAAAAGCCAAATTGTAGTAGTGCCCAGAGACTACAACATGCTTTGGTGATGCATCATGGCCACAATGGAACTGACCTTTAGCAATTCGCAGGCACCGAAGGGTGCAACAGCGGACAACTGTGCAAAACTGGCGGTGCTTCGAAAATCTTCGATCTCTCTAAGGATGCAACGCGTAGTTGTCAGAAAGGACAGGGACCACTACAACTCTCATGCTGCAGTCTGTGGTCCATATATGCTTTTGAGTTTGAAGCTGGGAGATCACTCATGCTTTCATGACATGGCTTGCAAAACAACCCAACCATCTCTATCCTCTCGCCGTGACTCTGCCCAGTGTTCAGCTGGAGCCAGTATGAGCCAGTGATGCGACGCAAACTTGCTTTCCAGGAGGTCAGGTCAGGTTCCAAAACATTCAGTTGCAACGGCATCTGATTGAATGATGAACAGCGCTCGAAAACTCAGACCATGCAAAGCACGACCCTTTCCCGCGCTTCCGCATGCGTCCTGTGAGACTTTGCAGGGAGCTGCGTTCTCCCAAGCACATATAAGAACATCCCTCACTAGGCCCCACCGCCCTTGTCATTCTCCTCTGGATCCCCTCCAGGAATCATCCTCAGCACGAGGAAGCAGAAGAAGTGCGAAGAATCAGTACTGTGTCACGCTGTGTCCTCGTAAGCAAATAAAGCAGAATACACGGTGATGAAACAGATGAATGCAGCCCGCATGTTGCGGACTGTGCTTTTGGTGGAGGTCTCCCTGAATGTGCCGACGATAGGAATCCGGATGACTGCACGCAGCTCGGCCCACAGATCGTCTTGCTGCTACAGTATGTTTGCAGCTTCTCACCCAGTGGTTGTATATCATCTGCAACGACGTCAAGACCTACTGGTTTCGATGGCATGGACCTTGGCTGAGCTGCGCCTGTTGCAGTGCTCACTGTCGCCACGCCACTGAACGTCGAAGTTCGATCATTCGCACGTCCCGGAATTTGTTGACTGGCCGTCCTGGTCTGTTGCTGCGTGTGGTCCTGCGAACCTCCCAAAATGATTACCTAGCGCACGGCAAGCTACGAGCACAGGGAATTCCACCTCCAGCGGCCTCAAAGCAGCGCACAAGTTTGACCCTTTGCTAATACGGCTGAAGTATGCTGAAAGGGAGGGAACATGGTCGAGTCGCTCCCAGCGATGATCGTTCGAAGGTTCGGTTTTGACACGGAGCCACTTTGCTTGCAGTGAGTCTGTGGGACACATCCGTGAATTCCACAGCATCCTGTACACAAATCTATTCTTTATTTCCTTTATATATATATATAGTATTTATTTTTATTTATTGAGTTATTTATGTATTTTACCTTTTTTTGATACTGCTCATCTTGAGTCGCCGGGCTTTCTGAGTCGCATGGTTCGCGTTTAACCCAAGACCATCCAAGACCCTGTCCTGGCCGTCCTTCTTCTAGTTTTTTGGCATTTGCCAGCTAAAGCCAAACTTAAGCATCAATCCAAACATCTAAGAGCCTGGGGGGTTATCCGAATATCACCCCCCGAGAGCTGAGGCTGCCAGCATCGTGATGTTATTGCCATTGAGAAGTATCCTGGCATGAAGTTCACATCCACCACGTGCGCATGAGTCTCAACGGCTTTCTCGATTTGCAGATTGAATATCGCATCAATGTTGCATCTCCCAACCATGTTTGAGAAGTGCAACCTCAGGCCGGTTTGTCGACTCCAGGTGTGTGATCTTCTTGCCCTGGGGAGTGAAAGTGTACTCTCGCACGTCCTTAGTAGCCCGCAGTGTGCCAGTACAACAGGCACTTCCCCCCGGCCAAGTGACAGACATCCATAAACTGCAAGCCAAGCCACGTCCATCACCATATTGACGTAATCATCAAAACCGCGCAAAGTGCCTACGATCTCCTTGTCACCCTTCATAATGACCTGGGCTAAACCCATCTCTCCCACATGTGCGAAATCTACTCTCTTGCATTCGGCTGCTCCAAATGTTGATACTCTTGCGAGGTGGTTTCCCATGTCATGCGCACTTCATGCGCGGTGCAGCCCATCGCAGCATGGTGCTTGCCCATTTTCGTATGAATGCGTGAAGATCACCAATCTGTGCCGGATGCCTTCGTGGAAATTTTGTGAAGCACCCGAGCGCTGCACCCATATCCGGGAGCCAATGCACTTGTCAATCAGGGCCTTGGCGAAAGGGGAGCGGTTGCACCGTTGGGTTGTCGTGCCAGCTAAGCCCGTGACCAGCGGCAGATAGGAAGGCGCGGCGGAGATCGATGCCATGTTAACGGACCCGGTCTGCCTTCTTGTGAGTCTCGTTCGCAGCGAAATAAGGGCAATACTGCCGGTGTGTGATTCCAAGGCACATACTTGGTACAAGGGCAGTCAAGGGCAGTGGCAGCACCAGATTTGCTGAGTGCGTGGCCCGCTCGGCACCCGGCCGTTCTCGTGGGGACTCCCCCAGCTCGAGCCCCAAGGACAGCAACATACCACCCCGCCACAATTTATCGGAATACGACTTCACTGTAATTAAAGCCCAAAAGTCAGGGAACTTCAACCATGCTGCCCGTCCCCCAACGCGTCGCACAACTGTCTCGGCATGGAGGCTGCAGCAATGGAGATCATGGCATCGACAATGTTCGGTGCTGTACGGAAGAAGATAGAGTAGCTTGCTTACAACTACAGCATGGCAAGTGCCGAGGAGCAATCCTGACACTTTTTAACAACTCAGCTGCGCCGTGATGCTGGGCAACGCTCCGTGTCACATTGCGGTACCAGGACCATGGTTTTCACAGAGATAGAACGCCTTCCATCCGCTTCAGCCCTTATCTGTAGTTGAACTTGATGGTGCCTTGCGCCTTGCACAGTCCAGATGGTCGAAAGGCCGAAGTTCTCGTTCCATGTGCTCCACCTGCTGGCCTTGGCAAAGCCAGGAATGCCACATTGACCAAGTAGCCGCTCTATTACGCTCTGCCGGGTCCTGCCTTTGGTGCTGTGACTTGGCTTCTGGCCACTGAGTGAAGCCGCAAAGCGGCGTTGCTCCACAATCTGGATGCCTGGACTGATTTTCGTACACACACACACACTGCAGCTACCCTCAAAGCCACCCATGTCCGCCCGTGCCCTGCTCAGTTTGTTTTTGGTACAAAAGGAAGGTCAGGCTGTGAGCTGCACCACCCAGAAACTATGCATGATGTCAAGCGGCTACCTTTGGCTCTGCAGCTGTGGACGTCAGATTTCACGGAACCGTGTCGATGGTGAAGCTGACGGGGCTTGTTCAACTCCCTGCACGCTTCGCCGAGCTATTCGAGGAGATGATGTGCAGGACGGCGGCGCCGGAATTTGTGGGACCCTATAGGACACCGAGACAGCTTGGACACCGGGGTGGGAGGCAAGTCCAAAGGAAGTCCAATTTGCTGGACTCCTCCATTGCGGGTTCTGTGGGTTCAATGCCGGCGCAACCTGCACAGGCGACCGATAGACAGTCGTAGGAGTCGGCGGACTCACGGCCACCGGGTACGGCAATTGAGCCTTGGGAGCTTCTGCACTTGCCAAACCTGAATGGCAGCAAGCTGTCAGCTCGCACCATGGATCATGGACTGCAGCAGGTGTTGTAGGACGACTGCCGCGTAGACTGTAAGCATGTCTCATGAGGTTCAGCCGGTTCTGAAATGTGCTGAAACTCCAAAGTGCAACTTCTGCTGGAGCAGGATTGCCATTCTTCAGCACGCGGATGCACAAATTGGGCGTCCCCAGCTCGTGAAGAGACAACACTGGGGATGCAGTGAGAAGTTCGTAGCTCAAATTCTCATGTGGTCTCAGCGCTTTGGACAAGACCTTCGCCTCTTCAATCATATTTCGTGCTAGCATGGCACTCTTCAAAAAATCATCTTTCGATGAGCAACTGGACACCATATCCTCTTCCAAAGCACGCAAGTAACGTCTGGCCCGCTCCATCTCCAGTGGAGAGCAGGCCCGCTCGGCGATGATGCCTTCAAGTCAGGGATTCATCGGGCGGGGAAAGGTGATGAAAAGTGCTCCAGCCCAGGCCTCTGATGGCATTGTTAGTGGACTCATCGATTGCACCTCCGCTGAAACTTACGTACGACATGTACGAGCTTGCCTCTTGCCCTGCAGAGGCAGGCAACTCTTCAGAGCTTTTTGTGTTTGGATCTTGGGTTTGAACCAGGTCTGGGTAGGCCCTCTGTTTAGGGTGTGGATTCCAACATTCATTATTCCAAGAATCTGTCGGGCCGAACTTTCACGAATGTTCACGACAACTTGGGAGGTTGATCTGTCGTCAGGGCTTCCCACGCAGAGTCTTTAGCGAAGTAGGATCCGGCTTATCCATCGGTACGCATAGTGGTATAGTGTAGACTTGCGCAAAGCAAAAGCCGAAGGCTCTTGAAGGCCTTCTTCTGCGCGACCACTGAAAAGCAAGGCTTGCACTGTTGGATCCGGCTTGGTGAAGACGAAAAACCTTCCAAGCACGTGCCTATCACTGAATTTGCGGTGCCTTAAACACAAGACTTGCGAACAAAAGTACCGAAGCGGGGGGGCGGGGGGGGCACAGGGCAGCAAGGCTGCACCTGAAAGAATGGCCAAGTACGACGAAGTCTTGATGCAGCAGCTCCTTCGCTTCGGCACGAACTAGCCGTAGCCCGTTCACCTCAGCCAAAGTCTAGTGCTGCGCGATGTCAAAATTGGATCATATTGGGTTGCCGCCCTGTTGCACGTGCCAACATCGCGAGTAAAACTGACTTAAAGGTTGATGTTGTTGGGATTGCCTAAGCGACATACCATCGTGGTCTTCGAGACAAGTCTGCCAATGACCTTGGAGCAAATGCAATCCGTGAGCTTCAATGGCGGCCGACGGGAGCAGAATGATCCCCAACGGCTTGACGAACAAACGCCCGGATTCCTGCAGGCAGTTTATGCTTGCATGCTGGTTTCGCCTATAGCTATAACTGATATAACATCCAAGTTCGACTTTCCAACTCCAACTTGATAACTTGCTCATGATACTTTACGCTGGGTGCTAGTACATGAATCCTTCAACTCATCTTGTGAGCTTGCCTGGTACCATTTTGAAGTTTCATCATTGACTGCTGCCCAGGTCCCGTCAAGGACACCCCCCCCCCCCCCCCCCGCCAAAGCCAAAACTCTCAACCTCCGACGGCCCTTGCACGCCTCGAGCCCTGTTAGGCTTCATCCGTGTCTGTTGAGGTCTAAGAAACCCTATAATAGCCCCAACCGCGAAATCGTAGGCGATGGTTGCCGGCACTCCCTGATCAGTGTCATGGGCACTAATTGTTTTGCAAAAAAGGTCAGAGATCTGAAAAGATGCAGGATTTCTTTGAGATGGCCCCGCCAAGGCCTCAGTTCCAAAAACCTAAACCTTAGTTGGAAACAACAGGGTTTAGTTCTGCACGACTTTCTCCATCCACGGGAAGTGGGCACCCCCGAAATAGCACACCACGAGGCGAACCACGATAAGGATCCAAGTACTCTTTGGCAATGGTCGAGGTTGCTTTCCTCGCCAAGGCATGTTCCAAGGCGGTCATAACGTCTGCCTGCCCTCAAGAGCAGGTGCTTCTCCTTCAGCTGTATGCGACCAAGCTGTCAAGGAAGAGTAGCCCATTCATCAGCAATGATCAATCTGCGACCTTGAACATCATCGGCAGGACGGTCAGTCATCACAACAGCGTACAACCGGCAACACTCACGACGAGCCGTCACAGGACGCAGGTGCTCGTCGTGCTCCATATCCTCCAGGATGGAAACAAGTGAGGCTCGACACGGTTTAGACCGCGCTGCTCCAGACCGGCAGCTAGCAAAGCTCCCACCCGAGCACAACACCAATAAATTTCGCGCTCCCTGGAGTGACATAGTGTGCCTAGGTCTGCCCGGCGAAGCTCTACACCGTGGCTGTGCACGTGCCAAGGCTGGCTGATTCATCTCAAAGGGCTGGCGGCAAGCTCTTTGGGCTGCGCAAAACAACGACAGGAACAACAGAAGTGCAGCAAGATGGCTGGAGTGTCAGCAGCCAATCAAGCCAGCAGCTCAGTGATGCCCATTCGTCTAGTTCGGCCAACACTGCTGATCAATCGAGCCATCAATTGTCATGGTGCGCAGGACAACACCAAGCCACAACCAGGTTACCTACGGTGCTCTTGAAAAGCGGAGGGAGAATCAAACGATCTCGACAACTAGACCACAGCTTCAGCCTTCAGCAGAGCTGAGGCGGACCGCGTTAACGTTAATTAATACTTCACCCGAAAGCCTTCAACCCAAAACATAGAACACCAAGATATTCCAGCCCCTGTCCTGCCAAATAAGGCATGTCTCCGGACCTCGGGTACACTGCGCTCGATCTACAAAGATCTACACAGAATCGCAAACCCACTTTGATGCGTCAGAGCTGCACATGCCTGGAGTCTGTGGCAGCTGAAAGTCGCATCGCGAGGAACCTAAAATCGAAGCTTTCAGCAACTGAAACGAGCAACCCTTACAGCAGTCGAGTCGCATCCCAGGATGTAGCGCCGTCCTGCTTCAAAATGAAGACACACGCGCACGCACTCGTTACCCATTTGTCACCCAAACGTGCTGACATCTGGCATGCCTTCTTCTTCAGCATGGAATACGAGACGGCCACTGAAGCTGGGATCTTTGGAATAGATGACCAAACCTGGCATCACAACATGTCCATGAGTCTTTTCCTTAGCAAAACAATGAAGTTCAGCCGAGATTCTAGGTATTGGTGGCCACCTTGTACGCACAACGCTGGTGAGGACAAGCTGCAACGGGCACGAACTGAAATGTTTAGTGCAAGCCAGAGCTGCATGGAACCTGAGATTCCGTGACAAAGCGTGTGCTGTGTTATGAAGACTGAGATTATACGACTGGTACGTACTGTGAGGCCAACACTACACACCAAAATCTCGAGAGGGTCTAGGGTTCTTGAAGCATCTCAACAAAAGAAGGCCTAGATGCCGGCGAACGACTTCAGTACATTTGGATTTGACGGCCCTAGTGGTCTTTCCCAGCATCACGGCAAGCCAGCAAGCCAAAACTGAAACGCCCTACGACAGGCATCTCAGACAAGCACTCAAGCTCACTCCAGCAAACAGACCGCCAATCCGGCAAGATCCTAAAGTGCAGAGTTCACATTGCAGGCAAGAATCGCTCTGAGGTTGCCGGTGTTCGCCAATGACTTAGCCAGGCACCCATCTCCAGAGAGTTTGCGGCTTGATAGCGTAGGCTCTCAACTTGGGAAGCATCACTGTCAGGCAAAGCCCGGTCATTTGATGGTTCCGAGGCTTCATTGGCTTCCAAGTGCTTATTGTCCGGACTTCTTGGCGAAGGACTTGAGGGACACTTTGAAGGACTATGCGACTGCATTGACTGCATGTGCGGTTGGCCGGGCTGTGTTGCCTGCACTGCCTGCGCCGACTCGCTCGACGCCTCTGGCCTTGTCGCCATTGTCGCCGCCGCCTCGTCGCGAAGTTCATTCTTAAGCGAAGCCCGAGCAAATCTCCACCTGGATATTGCCAGATTTTGCAAGGCATCGTCCTTCTGCCTTCGCAGCATATCTGCATTTTTCTGCGCCTCTTCCCAACGAGCCTTGTAGCTTTCCATCATGTTGCGAATGAAGCCAGCTTGAGAATCCAGGTCTTGAGCATTTCGAGGTGTTGCGTTGTGCAGCTGTTCCTTCAAGCTTCGCAGCTCTTCGCTCAAGCTTTGGATGAGCGAGTCCTTGTCCACCTTCGCAACACGCTTTGCAGTGACCTTGATGCTCTTCACAGTGCTCGCGAAGTTCAGTGTGACATAGCTTTCGTCTAAATTGATGGCTGCTGGACTCAGCGTTCCCAGCAAGCACGTCTTGGAATTCCCCGTGAGTGCATTGGACAGCAGCAGTGTAAGCTTAGAGTTTCGGAATCGTGCACGGCTCGGACCATCCAACTCTTCTGAGTTGCTGCGTTGACGTGCCTGCCGTCCAAGCCCTTGTATGCACTGGGCCAGCCACATTAAGCTTTTGTTGATGAAGGTTAGCTCAACAAAGTTTTCGCCGGTTACTTTCGTCGTCTTTTCATTCTCTCTACCCGCCAGATCGACACAGAAAACCTCGGAAGAAACCACGGTGTGATCCTCCTCATGGTTTTCCATGAGAAGTCTGAAAATTGTATGCCCACGTGAACTTTGAGCGTTGCGCATTGTCGCTGCGACGCTCGCCCGGGAGAGTCCAGCTTCCAGCAACTTTTGAAGGTGATCGAGAGTCTCAATTTGAATATCGGTGGCACCATCAACGTAGACACCCACTTTAGGGTGTACGTGAATCTCCGGCGCCTTGGGCTTTTCCTTCTCTTCAAGCAAATCACGTACTTTCTCGTTGTAAACCTCCAGCATCTGCGCACGACATTGAACATGACCGCCCAAACTTCGCACGGATTCCACTTGACCGAACAAGTCCCGCAGAAGCCGTGGCAACAGCCCCTGTTCCGTCTCGCTTTTCTTGCCCATGAAGGAGAAAGTCTTTCCACTGCCTGTCTGCCCATAACAAAACAGGCACGTATGATATCCCGAAATGGAGTGCTGCAGCATCCTGCGTCCTATCATCTCATAGCACTTCTCTTGGGACACATAATCAGGTTTTGAAGCATCCGTGCTGTCCATTGCACAATCGAAAGCAAAGTCCCTTTTCTTCTTGTCTGGATATTCTCCGACTACGGAGATAATCTTCCCAGAAGCCGTTAGGCATTGCTGTCGTGTTTCGTAGCCCAGGAAAGGCCGGAGCCTGACACCAACAAATACGGCCTCGTCAGTGGTTTTATCCATATATGAGCAATTCCAGCGCCCTTGGTATCTCTTCAGGCATGGCGGTGGTCACGAGGCATGAGCTTGCGAAAGACTCGGGGTAATGTAAGCGTTTGCTAGACATGATGACTTGGATGTTCTGCAGCTTGTCACTGCAAACAATTTCTTCTAATCGCCGATGCCTTCTGCATGACAACATAGACTTGCGCAGCAAAGAGGCGCAACAGTTCTCAAAAAGTGCTACTGCTACGGATCGGGCGAATTGCGGCTTTAGTTGTTTCTCATGATGCATTAGCGACGAATTGCTGACGACGGCAAAGGGAACAATGATTGCAAAGCTGCTGGTTGGCTTGCAGGACTTGCGGCATGAGATTGTATCCCAAGACACAATGATGCACGCTGCCCCGCATCTGTTCCGCGTATGCTCAGCGTTGTGTGCACAAAGCTCCGCATGAATTCTTAATTTGCAGGCGTCAAGTGCCCATGCGCTCAGGCTGTGAGTCACACTATAGCGGATCACTGAACTTTTACGGCCATGTAGCAACAAATAGACCATAGCATACTCAACCGAAAGTTCCTGCATGACGTTGCCATGCACTAGCTGCGGCTATGTCTTATGTTTAGGACTCGACTTGAGATACCTAGCCGGCCACACCCAGCACTGTGGACAGCTTCTCAGCGGAGCCGTGAACCAGCACTATGTAATGGAACAAGCACCTTCCTCTTCGTCAGAGGAGCCATCCCTGTGCCACAGAAGATCATGCAAGTTGAAGACGATAGCTTGGCACATTTGAGCCGCTGGGTGCAGTTCTGAGAATCGCACTCGCTGGCATCCTCACCTCGTTCGAAAGAAAAACGAAACCAGAGTCAAAAACTTCATTGGGGTCTGCCTAGTGACTAGGCCCTAGGCAGTAAACGACTTCAAGGTGTGATGCGGCATGCGGCATGGCAAGTTTCAACGTTTCAACGTTTCAACCCTCTTAGCATGGCCAAAGGCTTCCACTGCGCCCTCGGAGCCGGCTCCGGTCGTCATCCTCGCCCTGCCAGTTTCGGCCAGAAAATGCAAGGAGTGGCACCACATGGCACCACATGCAACATGTGGTTGCTCCAGTTGTGACACCTGCGCTGCAAAACCGGCCGATGCTTTCTTCAACGTGGTTGAAGGCGCCGTGCTGTTGATGTGTCGCCCGGCATGTAGCTGCATGAGTTGTGTGGTTACGTTCAGGTTGAGTTGGAGTACTGAGGGTCGTTTGTGCTATTTTTTGGACTTGTATGAGGGGCGGTTGATAGGTGATGGGGAGTTGGGAAGCTACAGGTGGGACTTTGGATGGGGCATGGCCTCCAGGCAGCCTCCCGCCACCTCAAAACCCCACTCCCCAAGCCCGAAGCCATCCTGAAAGGAACGCAACGCTTTATCGCAACCCGACGTGCCCTTCTGGAAGTGCTTGCTGTAAGTGCTTGGGCAGCAGCTCGGAAACACAAGATGCACACTGTTTGCAAAGGTCCGGCTCTGCAAACGGGCGCCGCCACTGTCCAATTCACCGGAAATACCTGTACCCCAGCTCCAGACCATATACCTCCTGACAGCATCCAACACTCGCTGCCCTCGCCAACCATGCAAACGCCAAGCGGAACCGGACTCCCCCCGCCCAAGAGATGGCGGTGTTACTGGGCTCCTGTCCCCACAGTCCCACTCGCATGACGTGCAGCCTGCGCCGGCCATCTAGAATGCCATGCTCCCTCAGCCCTCATGACATGTGCGTGCCACCACAACACCAGCACTGACGACGCAGGCGGCACCGAAGTGAATTGACAGGTCAATTCCCGTCATGCTGTTCCCAGGAGACACGGATAGACACGGCTAGCCACAACCATCGCCGCTCAAATGTCGCGCTTCCCGCGGGCCCTCTCCGTATAGGGTCCCGAAGTTTAGCTTCACAGGCTCATCGACACACTCATCTACGATGTAAGCGAGGAGGGATGTGGCTGGCTCCCACAGAATGACCCCTGCTCCATTGCTCCATCATGGCTCACGGGAAGCTGTGTTCTTTTCAGGATGGTGTTTGGTTTAGGAGAAGCGTAAACTCCCAAGGATGTAGGAGACTGGCAGGTCCCCACAGTCCCACATTCCCACCTCGCAAGAGCATGGATGTCTTGCTGCAACGCCGCACCTCGGTAGAGAGAGAGAGAGAGGAAATGTAGGTAGAAAGGGAGCAGTGATGAGCAGTGATGAGCAGTGATGAGCAGTGCGAGCTGCTGGGAATACAACTGCAAGCCGCCACAAGAGATGACATCCTTCCATCGCCGATTTCTTCTGACCTGTACTGCCAAGAATCCCTCACCAAGAATCCCACCCAATGCTGCGCTGCAACCTGGCGTTGCCTGCCTGGCCTCCGACCAGATCTGTGTATGGGCTTCAGTCCATTCGATAATCTCACCCACAACAACGGAGGTGTCATCCACCTTTCCACCTAGCGCCACGGGCTTGGTCGAAATTATCTCAAGTGCAAGTTGCATGGAACACGAAGTCAAGCAGCGGGCCTTTCCCAATAGGGGTGTCAAGGAACTGTCCGTTGACACAATCCGACTTTGCATGGGACTCCTTGACGATGCGCTGAGCTGCCTGGTCAGCTCCATCAGTGGCATGGACAAGATATGCAGGCTTGTGGTTACAGTCAACAACAACCATGCAACTATTGGACCACTCCATGCGCTGCAGTGACGATGTTTGGAAATCTTTCGGGTCACCAGCTCTATGGAAAACCGATTTCGAGGGCTGGAGACTAAAATGTGACACTGACTTCTGCAAGGGTTCAGTGGACGAAAGTCTTCGAGCCATGCACATGAGTCCGGACTCTCTACTGATTCGCTGCGGCCTTGCAGATACACCAAAAAAATGCAGCAAGCACACAGCAAGAACGATGCAAGCACACTTGTCTGCCTGGCTCAGATACTGCGCTGGCATCGGGGAGAAGTGGGCAGCCGGAGCTGGGAGGATTTCGTTGCAGATCTGGGCAAAAATCGACAGGGTTTCACATCACAACAGGAGTGTCTACGGGACCTCCACGATCTCGTCAAGAAAAAGATTGTCAAATACCTGAGCATGGGCTCGGCGCTCATTCTTTGTGAGAGGTTTCACCTTCTCAGAACGTGTGGACAGTGGACACAAAGTGGTGAAGGCTGTCGTATTGTCAACTAGCACGCACGTCCAGCACCGGCTGCGTCCTGCATGCATGCGAAGTTGAGAACCGTTGCATGATGACGAAGAAGAAGTAGAACTGGAAGAATTGGAAGATGTAGAGGCAGAGTTTGAAGAGCTGCCTACTTGGTCAAATGAAGTCGAAGAAGGACTGCCGAAGTTTAGTGAAGAAGAACTCGATAGAGTGGACAAAGTTTCGAGGCGTACCGAACTTGACCGACTTTATGGACAGTCTGTTTTGAAGAAGTTGCCACCAGGCACCAAGCGACAAATATTACAAGTTCTTGCCGCCGACGAAAGTTGCGTACCATTGGCGACATCACGAAGGCGAGCGGAAGCGACGAGGACGATAGTTGCGAGAGAATGCAAACGGTTATCAAGTTACGATTTGGCAGATTTGCTTCCGCCAACTGGCGTAGCCAGCACCCTTATTCGTGTAGTTTAAAGGGCCCCACCCCACCTCCCCCTCTGCTCTGCCCACCATATGGACTTGTGTAGTCTAAAGGGCCCACGCGCACGCCCACGCCCACACCGCTCAGACCGCCCGCGTCGCCCCCATCCCACGCAGTTTAAAGGGCGAGCGCACACGCCCACCCGCCCACACCGCGCTCATCGCCCCCATCCCGCAGCCCCCCCCGCCCCCCCTCTGCCCTCCCACCTACGGATTCGTGTAGGGCCCCTGCCCCCACCCCCCCCGTTCCAGCCTGTGAAAATATTGCTTAAAATATTGAGAGGAATGGGTTTTCGTAGGAAGATACGGAGCAAACCCTAAACTCCTTGAGCGAAAAGCCGAGCTCAAGAGAGCCAAGGAAGCGAGAGAGAGAGAGAGAGAGCGAGAGAAGAAGGTGAAAAGGAAAAATAAGTTGAAAATGTGGAAACTGAGGATGCAAAGGACAATGACGACGAGCCAGACCCACCCCGAAGCGCGCATGATACGAAACGAGATACTATACCGAAGAAGGAAAAGGATGTGAAGGATGCTCCAAGTTTGTCGGAGCTCATAGAGAAGGTTTTGAAGATTGAGGTGGAAGATGCGATGATGGAGAGGCATGTTTGCAGGCCTGTGCAACGAGTGACTTACGGCTTCACCTGCAAGAAGCACCAGCTGCCGAGAGGCTGAGAGATTTGGAAGAGTTGAAAGGGACTATCACTGTCACCAACTCAAAGCGAGCAAAGAATCTTTGAAGAAGTTGGAACATCTCTTGCAGAGAAAGGCGCGCCATCACTACCCAGAATGAGCACCTGATGTCCCAAGAACAAGCAGAGCACTGAATGTAAAAATGCAGAATGCCGTAGTGCAACAATAAACAACTCTGGTCACGTGCAGCTGTCTGCTCAGGCGCAGACGTCCCCTTCATAAGCGGACACGCAGTGCACGGCTGACCCCTTCTCGATGACCTACGGGGACCCATTCCCTATCTGCAGGTCACAGATCCGCACTCTCTTCTGACCAGGATCCAACGTGAGCGACTTTGTTTAGGCTTGATCGGCGCTACATGGCAAGCTGCATAGTAGCATTAACAGGGACCTTCTGCGGGACAAAAAACTACATGTCTTGCAAGAGCAAGATCGGTGCTCCCGCAAGAAGGATACAATTGCAGTCGAATTAATGTGCAATGTATGGTATGGGCAGTGAATTGTAAGACAGCGCGCCGGCTTGCGTGAGACGGGAGCTTCGCCGGATCTCCGTCTCCAGGGATGAAACGGCCTTCTCAGATCAGATCATCTCCATGACCTAGTAAGCAAGGAAAGTGGCAGAAGTGAAGCCCCGGCAGAGCTGACACTGATACTTCCGAGGCACTGTGCTCATGAAAAAGAGCCTCCAGAGAAAGATTGTAGGACTCTGCTTTGTCCAGAACAGCCTGAAAGAGCTTGGACGGCACGCGGTGGCAGAAGTGCTGCATGAGACGTTAAGCATCATCGCCTTCCACATCACTCGCAGCTCTCCCATCTCGGCGGCATGTGCACGTCGAACAGCCGCCACCTTCCAAAGCTGTCAAGTTTCGCATCATCTGGCATCATGGTACCATGTAACCTAGTTCAAGGGGCGCACTCAGCTGGTGATTGCGGTGCAATAATGCAAAAGCTGTTGGCTCCGGCTAAGACGGTGACACGGTGATTCGTGAAATTTCGTGAAGCCTACCGCTGGGAAGGCTGGACCAATAGAAGAACACAGCATGTCCCAAGGCCGCCCAGCCTTGTGTGCCTTTTCAGGTCAATTATCTTGCTGCGAAGTTCTGTTAGGTCCTTAAGATAGCCGAGAAACAAGCTGCAAACCTAGCGGTGCGAGCGTAGTTGCCTCAAACCCAGAGTTCGATCATGTTCGAAGAGGAAGACATGGTGAAAAAGCAGTCCCCCCGAATTGCGGATGATGTCATGTTGCGGCACTAGTGTGCTCCTCCCCTGACAATCCCTAACAATCATCAATTGCTATGGAAACACGTGCCCACATTTTTGACCAACAGAAGTGACGTCGGCACTTGAAGCTGCAATGGTTCAGAAGAGCTCTCTTGTGGGCCTAATGACCAAACTTCCATGTAACAGTGCGGCCACCTGCATGCCGATGACGTTTCATCTAAAAAGTTTGCGAGTGCCAACATGTGCCAACCATTTTAGTACATGTATAGGCGTATAGCAGCATAGCTAGCCACTTCGTGACCAAAGGCTCTCAGCACGGCCCACCTCAGCTTCCAGTTCCAGACGTTGCGACTGCAATTGATGGAGCTGCCGTTGCTCCTGTACAGACCATTCCTCTTTGCAACATTTTGCAACCGTAGGCAAGGCATGGCACACTCATGGCAACGCTGCATGCGGCCGCGGCCTCTGTTCGCTTCGCTTGAAGCTCTTGGTGCTGCTGCAGCGCTGCCTGTCTGCGAACCTGACCCACTGCTGTTGACCAGCACCACGGCACGTGCTACGCAACTACGAAGCGGACATAATGCCTAAGTCACACTTCAGACTACAACGAGAACGATGTCCACTTCCAATTCCGTCAAAGCTGAAACTGTATAGGGTTCAGGAGGTGCAAACAAATCTTGGACGATTGGTCTTGGAGTTCAGAGTTAAAGTTGCTACGCGACCCGGGTTGCCGTTGGCCAAGAAGGGCATTTCTGAAGGGGCGAGTGGGGGTGGGGGGGTGGGTGCTGGTGAGCAGGGGCAGCCGCGATGGTCGGGCCCAAGGCCTTCGGCTAGGCTACCCATGCCAGAAAGTCAAAAAAGTGGGTGTGGGTCTGGAAGCGGTTTCGTTATGGGTACCTGCCAATGCTCCCCACACTCCTACGGCCCGAAACCCGAAATCCCTTAATCCCTAAAAACCGGGACTATCGTCTAAAGCCCTGTCCCTGAGTACCGTCCAGAGCAGACGGTCCGTTAGTCGGTGTTGAACTTCATATGTCATGGTTCGTCTAAGCCTCACCTCTTTTGAGAGCGGGAAAAAGCTGCATAAGAAAGCCTCGAAAGTGCATGTTGCTTGCCGTGTGTAAGAGAGAGAACAAACGTTCCGCAGTGCATCAACCATCCACTTCGATACTACAAAACCGGAAAAGATGCTAAACCCTAAACAAAAAACAGAAAATATCTAAAACCAGGCCACAACACCGAAAAACCATACAAACTTTGAACTCCCTAAAATCCGAAAACAGAAAAACAAACCTGAAACAAAGAAAACTAATGCTAACACTAGTTTACATCCAAGAGGCTAAAAACCCTGAACCAGAATACATATCAAAAACCACTGAATCCCCATGTCACATACTCACGCCTAAGCCCAAAAACATTCACCAACAAGAACTAAGTCAAAATCCAAAATATACAAACAAAAACATGAGCCCCAAACTGCCCTAAACTTTTCATCGCAATTACTCAAAGAACCCACAAAAACGCTCAAATCCTAATCAACAATCTGAAGGCCCTCAACCCGGAAAACCAAACTCCTGTAAAACAACCCTCAGACCAAAAACACCGAAACTTGAAACCATATAATGTACAACCTTGAACCCAAAGGATTGCCAAAACACCTGAAGCAGAAAACCCTAAATAGAAATAGAACTAAAAAGTATGAAGCCGAACAACCAAAAAAACCCAAACAGAACTCAAAACAACCACAAAACCGAAACCCGAAACTCCTAGACCACAAAACGCTTTAAAGCACCCTACACCCAAAACCGCTAACCCCTTTGACCTCAAACACCTCACCCACGAAACCTTTACACCCCCACACCATTCACCACCCAAACTTATTGCCCCACAACCCTGGAGATATCAGTCGTTGAGTCGTTGTTCATGAACATTTCAAGCAAATGGAAAAAACCAAAACCAGATCAAATCTGAGGCCGTCCACAAGTCCCCTCCCTGAGATTCAGCCTTGAACCCTTGAGGACATCAGCCCTGAAAAATCTGAACCCCTAACCCCTAAAACAGCTGACAACCTTTCTATGAAAACACACCCCTACACGCCCTAAACCAATAAGCCCTCGCACCCTTGAGGCCCATTAAGCTTGAACATGAAAACCCTTAACCCTTCAACCTCTGAGACCTTAAACCCTAAACCCCCAAAACATTAAACCATCCAACCCCTAAAACATTAAACCCCTAAACCTCATCTTCGCAGCCACACACAAAGATCCCCAAAACTTCAACCCTTCACCCCAAAGCCTCTCATCCCTGAAGCCCACAACTCTTTAACCACAAAACAACCCCCAGCCCTAAACACTGAAGACTAAACCCCCAAACCCTTAGTCCGAAACGCCAAACGTACAACTCCCTAAGCCCTTAAACCCACCCCTAAAACACCTAACCCTCATACCCCTAAAGACCCCTAACCCCTAATCCACCCAGCTCGTACACGCCTATACACCCTAAACCCATAAACCCATAAACCCTTGCACCCTTGAAGCCATCAAACTTTTAAGATCAAAACCCTTAAACCCCTGATCCCTTGGACCCCTGAACCCTCAACCAGAGCCTAAACCACCAAACCCCTGACCCTTAAATCTCCTTCGCAGCTACACCCAAAACTCCCAAGCTTAAGCCCCCAAAAAACGCTGAACTCCCCAACCCACAACAAAAAAACAAAACCCCCAAACCCGAGCCCCTAGACACCAAAACGCAAAAGCTCCTACGCCCTTCAACCCCATGCCCAAAATACCCCAACACCTAAACCCCAAATCTTCAAGCTTTTCAAAGAAAAGCCACAAAGCCCTAAACCCCTTGAAGATTTAAGTACATGAACGCTGAAACCTCTGAACCCATTACCGCAAGAGATCTAACCCTCATATCCTTGTCCTTAACCCCCCAAGCCCTAATCCGCCCAGCCCCTACACCCCAACAACACATAAACCCTTGCTGCCTTGAAGCATCTTAGACCCCAAAGACAGAGAAAGAGAAAGAGAGACAGAGAGGAGAAAGCACAGATAGAGGACATGGCACGAAAAGACAAGACAGCGCAGACAGAGGGCATGGCCCGTAGACAGTGGAGAGCAAAGAGAGAGGACATGGCACGAAGTGAGATAGCCCGTAGACAGTGGAATGCAAAGAGAGTGGAGAAAGCACAGAGACAGCAATTGAGTACACGAGAGAGAGAGAGAGAGAAGACGGCAGCATAGACAATGAACACGGAAGCAAGCATGAAGCGAGGAGACGGTAGAAAGAGAAAAGAGACACCACAAAGAGAGGAGAGAGCACCTGATTGAATTATGCAGAAGCTGTGAAAGTCAGCATGGATGCGCAATCAACACACTCCGTTCGCAACAATCAGGCGCATGCCGCGAATATTGCTGCGTTGAGACATTGACCGGAGCATGCCCTTTTGGCTTTAGTTCTGGCAGCATTGGCAGCTTGCAAACAGAAACCCACGCAACTTCGTAGCATTTCCTAGCAACCCTTAATGCCTCCAGCTGCTCCATGCGTTCAGCATGCACCTGACAAAATCAGCATCGTGGCAATAAAGAATTGCCAAGAGCACTTCACAATGGAGCTCGACTCCGAGAACAAAGGCACGTGCAAGGAGAGTGTAACGAAGAGTACAGAGAGTAAAGAGTGCGCCTGCTTGGCTCTTTCGTTATCTACCACGATGCTCTTCAAGGACCTCACATCCACACTCTAGGGGGACGGTGGGGTCTTGTTGGGAGTTAAAGCACAGGCCTGGGCACTTGAGCATGGAATGCCAGTTTTAAAGCCAGTGATCCGATGATGCACTCTAAAGCTTTCTTGTTAGTCTAATTAATTACTTGCATAGCTCGCCTCCTACATCTCCTACCCGGACTTTGTTGCAGACCAGAGAGAGATGATGTACTCAAAGCAGAAAGGACACAAACAAACCATGACACCCAAGCTGCCGCGGATGACCCAATGTCCTTTAGAAGCCAAGAAGGCAGTGCCTTTTTTTGAACAAGAGCAGCTGCCCATTAAGCATCACACTGCTCGAGTTCAGCTCCATCCTGCTTGACTGCCTGAGGAAGCACAAGGCAATACAAGGCTTACCGATACCGGTGGTCGGGCGGGTCCGTCATTGTGCACGCAGAACTGCACGTGGATGCCTCAAGAGACTGCCGAAGGAGTCCCAGCTCTTCTCGTGCAGTGGCTGCTCGCTGCTTGGCGGTGTCGGCATTGGATGCAACATTTCCAACGCCTCCGTTTCGTGGGCAGTGCACTGGTATTGCTGACAATGTCCTGTTGCAGTGATCTTCAGAAATAATCTAAGTCCCGGGCGGTTGAGCCTCAGGGCAAAGCTGCACAAACGTTTCGCACAGCAAATCTGAAATACTCAATTTATCGACGAGCGACTCGTCCTTGTAACATTCCAGGTGCCGAAGCAGCCTGAACACACCATGTGGCGGCTATCTCATGAACAAGTGTTGAATCTACAGCTGTGCCTGCAAAAGACTTGATCTCGCTGGGAATGTGCCCTGCGCTGATTGGCTTTGTCCTCGAGAACTGCCTTGCCATCTGCGAGTGGAGCAAAGGCTTACAGCAATCTTCTTCAGCAACTTTGTGAAACGATCGACATCTCATGGTTCATACATATGGACTCATGCTCCAAACTGACCTATTGAAACTGGCCTGCTCATGCAAAAACGCATGAACTCTTCGCGTGAGCGTGTACTTCCTCTACTGCCTGCTGCCGATTGAAACTGAAACAGTACTTGCAGCAGCCTTGAGCTGGCACACGCCGCTTTTCAGCTCTTCGATCTCCTTGCATCTGCACTCAACCAGAACCAAGGACAGCGGCATGCAGCGGCAGCGATTGAGGTTAATTGGATGCATTAGGTGGGCACCCTTGGAGGCGGGGGGGGGGGGGGTACAGCGGGTTAGTGACAGCATAAAGACGTTTGAAAAAGTGCAGCGCGGCCCCATTCCTGCCCTCTGGCTCCTCCGACCAACTGTTGCCTCCCTTTTGTCCTCCACTTCTCCCACCCGTCTACCGCTGTCTCCCATTTGTCTCACATTGGGGACTGACCCTGAATGCTGCGATGGCCGTCTAGGACTGTTGTCTCCCATCTGTTGGGGGTGGGGGTTTTTGATTTGTTTCAAGAAGGGTGTCTGTGACTTCGGCGAGAGAGAGGGAGAAGGAAAGGCAGAGGGATGGAGAGGGGAGAGGGGAGCAAGCGAGCAAGGCAACAAGGTGATAGGGAAGAGGGGGGAGAGGGAGAGAGAGGGAGGCAGACACAGAGAAAGAGAGAGAGAGAGAGGGACAGAGACAGAGAATAACAACAACCCAATGCAAACGTTCGTCTAAATTTACCCAGGATTTCTATGTCGCGAGCATGCAGTCTTGGACGATTCTGCAGGCGGGGGTTGCGTGGGCTGAAACGACAAATCGATGCAGGCCTTTTCGTACCAAGAGTAGATAGACTGTGCTGAGAAATGGACTCGGATTGCTCTGCAAGCCAAATCGAGGCGAGAAGAGAACGATAGTGGCATGGAGTCTGCCAATGCTCGATCTATCCCGATCCTTCTCCAGGCCCTCCGGGCTTTCGGCAATCTGGCTCTGCAAAGCGTTAACCTCCCACTGCATGCTTGACTTTTGACTTGGCAGGTGACCCTCTCCACACCTGTTCCCGCAGCTGCTCAATGCGCTGTTCCCCTTGTCGCACTCGCTCCTCAGGGCCGGGCAGTACTCCACGTAACCGTCCAAACGCTGCACAATTTGCCAACGACGACGTGCCAAGCGTGCCAACCTTGACCGATGCCCTCTTTTTCTCCGCATCCTCCACAACCTTAGCGAGCCAGTCTGCATTCAAGCTACCTTCTAGTGCACATGCCGACTCTAGAATGACGTCCAGCGATTGTTGGGCATCAAAGGCACACATGTGCTTGCAATGCGACGGGTACATACACCCTAAACCCATCACGGCCAAAGTGGTCAACGCAAAGCAGGATTCAGCAGGATACAAGCCACCAGCACAAAATCACGGTCAGATGGGGTTCGCTCAATGGTCTGCACATGTGTGCATGTGTCACGTCAGGTCGCGTCTATCTTGTTACGCAGCTACGAGTACAACGCTTTAGCTTATAGACAGCAACACCTTAGACGTTGCTACAATTCTAGCAATGCTAGCCAGCAGCTGGACTCGCCGAAATCCGTTCTTCCGAGTGCAAGACACGGTCTGCAGAGCTGCGCTGTCTTGTGAGCTTGTCGTTTGTGGCCTTGGCCTCTGCTGCCTGCACATCAGCGAATCGAGCACACGTGGCGCCAAGCTCTATTCCAGCCTCATTCTCGGCATTCCACATGTCTTGCAGTTCGGCGTTGTGACGTTCTTGGGCGGCACCTAGCTCTGCATCAACCTGCAACGTTTCAGAAGCGCTGGAAGGGCAGAACGTGGCGCGATGCCTGGTTTTCCAGAGGCTCCGAGTCGTGTGGTTCCAAGCGAAGCACTAGACTCAGAACGACAAACCCGAAAGTACCCAAAAGTCCAACGACAGCTCAGGTTGCAGCAAGAGGAATCCAAAAATGAACAGTTCGAAAGCAGGGCAAGGCAATAACATCATGTTGCAGAGGAAGAGCCGCGCTCTGTCTCTTGCTAACTGCTGCTAGTGGCCAAAGCGCCCGAGGAGCGTGCAAAGAATGGGTCCCCAACACATCCCAACACGAGCCACTGATTTCCAATCAAGGCATTGCACTCAACTGGAAGCTGGGCATGCTGACAATGCAATCCGCACCAGCTGGCAGCAGCTGGGCCGTGCTTTCAGATTCACAGCAAACTGGCCCGGAGAAAGGGATATGAATGTTCAGCCAATTCTCACCATGACCCTGGAACATCATGAAAACTGGGGACGAGTGGACGGCCTGGTTCAACTTGTCCACCATCTCCAGTCTGTTGGAGTCCAGCGCTTGGACGTCCTTCGAGGGGTGTCTTGCAACCCATACAAAAAGCCGACGAGTGCAAGCTGGGATACACAATACCATGTCGCAGCATACCAGGTGCTCCTCTTTCATGCCAGTTATGACTACCACCTTCGCCTTATCCACACGAAGATGCACTGAGTCGGCAGCAATGTTTTAAGTAATTTTGTCACACGCTTTTGTGCTCGTCGCTCAGGTTCACACCTCTTTGTAGCGGCAGAAGTTGATCATGCCGCCTGGTGCTGGATGCTGTAGTGAAGCACATGCTCATTTCTTCCGGCAAAAGTCGAATCACACAAGAGGGACCTCACTGCAACGGCATGCTGAAATGTGTGCAACCGTGCGTCTCAGCAATGCTCGAAACCGCTTTGGGATTGGCTCCCAAAAGTCCTTCCAGGGCAAGAACTGAAGACTAGCCGTGACTAGCCCGTGCAGGACATGTGCAAAGCGAAATTACCTGAAATCACAAATCTGAGCATCCTCCGAGTTCGGGCTAACCTTGCTTTGCAAAACTTGCAGATGCTATGTCCAACGCAACACAACTCAAGGCAATGCATTGCAACGCAGCGCCTTTTTTCAGGTTGCTCCAAAAATGCGAGCACGATGCATCTACAAGAGCGTGCGTTGCTTTGCGATGCATTTGAAAGAGCGAAATTTGTTTTGCCTCTAAGGTCGTTTAAGCCACGTGAAGGTGACATGTGTGTGAGCACTATGAAAATTTCGTAATCTTCAGCCATGCGAGTGCCAATGTTAAGTGCAGCGGCACCAGAATGAGCGGAGGGTGGATTGGGAAGCAGAAGAAAATCTCGAAAGCTTTCGCAACATGGCCAGTATACAATTAAAACAGTCAATTGAAGAGTCGAAGTCCTTGACTTGCTATAATTGTCATCGACCAACAGTGGCCTGCACGCAAATCACTTCAGACGTCTTATCCAGCGAAGGGAATGGGCTGGGAGACTATGACTATGGAGTCTATCAGGGAGGTAGAGCAAGGCAGAGCTTACCCAGATGAAGGCTTTGTACGGCTGAAGGTCACGAAAGTTTTCTCATCGTAACACTCCAATCCACAACGTCCCCTCCGGCAAGACCATTTCTCCAGTTCCTGTGGTAAACATCTCCATCTAAACTCTAAACCCGACTACATGTTCGACAGTTTGGTTGGCAGACGTAGTTTTCTCAACATGATAGGTTGACCGCAGTCCAGACATTGGATGTTTCGGACTCTTGTCATGAACAGAATTGCACAGACGAGTCCTTAAAGTTGAAGTCGTCGACCAAATTGATCATGGCCAGCTGCCTACACAGAGCTCACACTAGGCCAGAGAGGATGCCTGCACTATGCCTGCACTATGCCTGCACTGTGCCTGGACTGTGCCTGCACTGTGCCTGCACTATGCCTGCAATTGCCTGCGCCCTGCCTCGAAAGCTTGAAAATGGTCAGAAAATCCATCGCCTGGCGCGTTCACAAGATGTCATAAGCCTTAATTGTTGTCCTGCCAGGACCTCATCATAGATTTCGGGAGCCGTCACCGCGGGCATCTGCGCCTTCACTTGTTGGGAATCCTGCCAAGAAACGACTTCGACTTCGTCGTGCGCTTGAGGTGCGTCGTGCGCTTGAGGTGACGGGGCATGTTTAGAGGCTAGTTACGTGTAGCTTTGCTTGACATTGGAAAGCATGCAAGATATGTAAGGTCACTATGTAGGATCGATTCAGCACGCCGTCTTGAACAGATCAGCAGAACACTGAGCGGGAACAATTCCCATGGTCCATGTCGTAGGCAAACTCTGCAAGAGCGTTGAAGAAAGCCATGGCATTGTCTGCGGAGGGCCTTGAGACATTGTCAAAACAGCAAGAAACTTATGACATCGTGTGAGTCACAACCAGCACTCACAGTCCGTCATCACTCCATCTGCTTGCAGCCTGTCGATGTTGTCCGCAGCGACTGCTGGATGCACTCCAATCATGTTCAGCACCTCAAGACACCAAGGAACAAGCATCTCACCCGACTTGGAATGTGGAAGGAAGGGCACGCCAGTAATATCCTTTGGCGCCAGGATCTTAAAAGCGAAGCCCTTCAGCATGTTGTCTGCCCTGGCAGCGCAGCTATCAAAGGTTCTCACATGGACTTTCTTCACATCATGGCCGCTTGTCGCTAAGCGATGGTCCTTTTGCTACGACCGTGACGAGGTGGTGGACAGGACAACTTGAGCCGACAAGCTGCGGCAGATTGAGATTGGGGCTGCATCGGTGGCAAATGCAACATAGATTCTTTCAGCACACATGGTAGGATGAATGCCTCCAGCGCAATGGACTCGTCAAACTCCTGGTTCTGCTTGCGTGAAATGCCAGCTTTATCTTGGAAGGCAATTCGGCTACTGCTGGTGAGGAGTAGAAGACAGAGATGCCAGATGGCACACTGAAGAAGATGCTAACAAATGGTGAAGCTTGTGCACACGAGCCAAAACACCGTCGCTTTGAAGCAACTCACCGAGAATGCTGGGGAAAGGGATGCGAAAGGGGTCCTCGTCAATTCTCTCATCGACGCGTGCTAGCTGAAGCGGCGTTTGCACATTGTAGTCGATGCGCTGCATCTCTGTGTGGAAAACTGCCTGTGGGACTTGGGACAACCTACACTTGAAATACGTTGTTTGCAAGTGTATGACGAAGCTGAGGCAGGGGCCTCTAATTCAGACTGTCGACCATTTGTCCGTCTCCTTTGAAGGCAACAGCAAACATGAAGTGCCGGGGGAAATGAGCTTGTAATGTCACTGAAGTGCCAAAACCTGAACCGATAAGAAGTGGACAGCATGAGCAGCTCACAATCGCCAATCGACAGGACCGCGATCATGGGATGCAACTGCGGCAGTGCAAATGTCACATGCGGCCCGTATAGCAGAGACGGCAGAGACTTCACCCAATCAAAACGACCTTCCCATGGATCCTTGTGCTATTGTCGAGCGCTGCCAGCAGCACTGTGGTCGACCTCAGTCGAAATTCTAGTGCAGCGAATCCCAGACTCATAACGGTTATAACGCACTGGGCATCCCAACCCGTAGCTGGTTGTTTCCTGATACCTGGCCCGCAAGAACCGGAGAAGCAAAAACAACATTGCTGCCAACGACAGCCGGGCTTCTCACAGGTACGAGCAACATACTCTGTCTGAGTGCCGTCCCAGATGCGCTTCCTTGAGAAGAGAAATGGGACCTCTGTACCTGCAGCTTGGAAGCTGCAAGTGGTCTTCACATCCGAGTCCGTTGCGTCACTGGTCTTGTGGCGCGATATTCGTGTCGGGCATAAGCTGCAGCATCGCAAGCTCCTGCGAGAAAGGACGGATGCTCTGGAAGTTCAAATTGAAAGCTCGGTTCCTCGCACGTTCGCAACAGCTCGTTTGGGAGCAGCGAAGGGTCCATCTGAAACTCCTGCAATCCGCATTGGTCTGAACGATTTAGCTTTCACAAACATTGTCTTGCTCCTCAAGCTGCGATACTCCATCACAAACACCCAATAACATAGGAGAAGTCAGTGTGGCATCAGCATCCTCGTGTCCCAGGCACATCTGCCCGCAGTGCTGTTGCAACACAGCAGGTGTGCTGAGGCCGTCTGGGGATAAAGCCTTGTAGCCCATTCGGACTTTTGCTGGATGCGGCTGCTGGAAAGCCCGAGCACTGAAACACAAGGGTTTGTTCTTGGAGTACCTGCTTCACTTCACTCTAGAGCTTGCATACAACATTGGTTCTTAAAGATTTCGGTGGTGACCTCTCTATGGCGCACTCCTCGGTGTAGTGCTGTTCTCTTTTTTGAAACTCTCCGAGGATGTCTTTCTGCCTGCCATGTGAACATGCCGAACACAGAGATGGCGTTTCAACGTGCACGGACAGTTCCGGGAAGCCGGAAAGTTCTGTTGACAGGGCAGTGCCACTGCACAGTACCCACCAGGAACGTCGGCGACCGCTTCATGGACTCCATTTCCTCGACCTTTTTCGAGGTCACTGCGGCTTCAATGCGGCTTCAAGCCTTCTGCGCACATCTTTGCATCTGAGCCGAAAAGCAAACGCATCGGAACGCAAGGTCTAAGTTCCTTGCAGAATTTGCAGAGCACACAACATAGCAAGCAGCCTAGACAAGGAAATTGCAGGAAATTTCATGCTCTTGCCTAGTTCTAGAGCCTGCTCAGACTGCCCATCAGAAGACGGCAGCATCACACTCAGGGCTCGCACTCGATGCATTTTGCGAGGGATGCGACGGTTGTTCGGGGGCATTGCATATTGCATTGCATAATTTGCAAACCATATCCTTGCATGAACACGCTCTCACGTGGCCACGGCTTGCGTGGCTACCCGCTGCTGCCCCGACGGGGTCACTCGGGCCAGGAGCAGGTCCGTGAGTATTTGTGCAGTTTTTCGCGACCTGTCCATGACCTCAGGACTGCATCGGTTCGCTTGGCAAAGTGATGCAAAGCGTGATCATATGACATTTACAAAGCACGTGCGATACATGTCGAGCCGCCTGGGACACCACAATATTCTTCAAGAATCGCAGTGACCATGGGAATTCCTGGGTGAGGCAAGGAGTAACTTGGCGATCTATTGCTGTGTGCAGAGGGCGCGCCTTGATCCACAAAACCACAACCCACCGTCTCAGGATCAGTCCTGGCCGCGTCTTGAGAACTTCCGAGAGCAAAGTCAGATACTCAGGGTGCTGCTATGTGCTTCTCAAGGCTTGGTCCACTTTGCTGTGACAATGTGTAAAAGATGTAACAGCTGCACTCGAGCCTTGGCCCGCAGGCACAATCGCATCTGTCACCTGCCAGACACGGTGTACTCTCGCGTGCGTATACGCAGTATACGCGCAAGGACGTTCGTTTCCTCAGGCTTGAAACGATTGCAAGGTCATCGCGTTGGCCAGGCTTTCGCGGTGCTCACACTAGCCTAGCTTGACTGACAAGGGAACCCATCCGTTCCCACCCCCCATTTTGTCGGCGCAATGTGGTTGCTGATCCAGCCTGGACGCGCACATTGTCAGCGAAAGGAACTCCTTCCGAAATAAATTGGAGCGTCAAGACGACCTGAAACATCCCGCTCATCACAGCTGCTCGTGCGCTCACATATCCTTCTGCACTGCAGCCATTAAGCCGAAGACCTCGCGGTCGTTCGTTTTCAGGCGACAGAAGGCTTTGCACGTTGCATGATCCGGCAACGTGAGCACAGCCCGCACAGCTTGGGGGACGTCGTCTGGCACTGGCACTTTGTACTTGAAGCCGCGGATGCGTGTATGCGGCCTTAGGTTCAAAAATGATCAAACATGTTTTCCTCGATGGTCATGACATTGCGACACTGAAGCTGGTGCCAAGGTGCTTTTGGGAAGCTTTGTCCCATTTTGATCCGACGATGTCGAATGCACCCACATCGGCTCGGAAAACACTTTCTAGAAACGACGGCTGCAGCAAGGCTGCCTGAACCTCTGGTAAGCTCATCTGAAGGTTTGCAGAGAACAAGGGCTTCGAATACAGATAGTCCTGAAGCTCCACATCGGGAACCTGACAGCACTCGCCACGAGACTATGCAAAACTGCATCCATCATTTGCTGAACTGTCCATCTGAGCCCCGCTCGCTCGCTCTCTCTCTCTCTCTCTCTCTTTTCTTTCATTTTGTTTGCTGAGGTTGCCCCCTTTGCCCCACGCTGTTGCCGCTGCGTGGTCTGAGTAGGTGTACTCATTCGGGCGATGTACAAAACAGTCGGCATGAACTGTCAGGGCTCGTGCTGCCCGACTGGCCCAATCGGAGGCCTTCATTTCAATATGTTCAAGAACACTCACATGGCTGACGTGACATTTGTCGTTTTCGTCATTGCGATTCCTTGGTTGGAATTGTGGAGTGTTTCATTCACCTTCGGAGTTGTGATCTTCTCCACAGCTCGCGATGTGGTGGTGGGCAGGGGGGGCGGGGCGGGCGGGGGGCGCGGGAGGCCTAAGGGCCTAAGGGTAATTACACGGTCCCTTAGTATGGGCCCTGAAACCCCTTACAAACTCCTGATATACCTTATACGAGTTAAGAACCCATACATCAGAACCCTTTAAAAGAGGTTAGGGACGGCCCATGAAACTACCCTCATGGAAAAATGGATTACTGACGGTACAAACAGCAATCATTCGTTGCGCATGTCCGATTGCTCATGCCAAGCATGAAAAGGAGGGCACCCGGATTTGAAGCAGGGACCTGCTGATCTGCAGTCAGCCGCTCTAACCACTGCTATGTACCCAGTTGACTATACTTTGAAGAAGAACTTGCCTGCCTTTCCCAATATTATCTCCTGAATCCTGAATCCTACATCCTAAAGGCCCCAGCGAGGCCCCTGAACCCTAAACCCCCTAAACCCTAAACCCTAAACCCTAAACCCTAAATCCTAAATCCTAAATCCTAAAATCCTAAATCCTAAATCCTAAAGGCTCCAGAGAGGCCCCTGAACCCTAAACCCTAAATCCTGAAATCCTAAATCCTAAAGGCCCCAAAAAGACCCTTCCCCCGCGCCCCCCCCCCCCCCGCCATGTGGGACCTTTCTGGGGGCTGAGGCGCGAATCAGAAAACGCGAACCGGAAAACGCAGAGCGGCGAATCGGAAAACGCCAGATTGTCGTTAATGGCTTTTATTGGTTTTGTATTGGTTATTATTGATTTTCTATTGGTTTTTGTTGGTTTGCTATTGGGTTTCTATTGTTTTTTGGTTTTCTATTGGTTTTTGTTGGTTTTCTATTGGTCTTTATAGGGTTTTTATTGGCTTTTATTGGTTTTCTATTGGTTTTCTATTGGATTTCTATTGGTTTTCTATTGGTGTCTATTGGTTTTCTATTGGTTTTATTGGTTTTCCAGGTTTTCTATGGGTGCTTATTGGTTTTCTATTGGTTGTCTATTGGTTTCTATTGGCATCCAATTGCTTTTTATTGGTTTTCTATGGGTTTTCTAGTGGTGTTTGTTGGTTTTCTATTGGTTTCTATTGGTTTTTATTTGTTTTTTATTTGTTTTTATTCTTGTTTTATTGGTTTTTCTTGGTTTTCTATTGGTTTTTGCTGATGTTTTATTGGCTTTTTTTGTTTTGTATTGGTTTTGATTGAGTTTCTATTGGTTTTTATGGGTGGAGTTTTTTCTGGGTCTTTTTTTGGGGAGGGGGCCTTTGGGGGGGGATCGTTTCCGGGTTTTCCTAAGAAAGAGCTACATTATATATCTTCCTAGGATTCATACTATTTTTCGTAGGGTTTCCTATTTGTTCTTTCTTTTTGGCTCGTTTTCTTGGCTTTTCCTAGGAAAAGGCTACATTCCCTCTATTTTCATAGGATTCATAGTACTTGTCGTAGGATTTCTTTTTCATGAATTATTGTTGTTTCGTTTTCTTGGTTTTCGGAAAAAACTACATTCCGTCCGTATTTTCATAGGATTCATGATATTTTTTGTAGGATTTATCCTTATATTTTTTTTGGCTTGTTGGTTTTTCCTAGGAAAAACAGCCCCCCCCCCCCTTTACAGGCGCAATGATCACATGATGGGTTTCAACAAGTTTCTTAGGCTTTGAAGTACGCTTTGCACGGCGAAAAAAAGCGGGGGGTTGGGGGCGGTGCGCCCCTGCCATTTGGGTTTCAACAAGACTCATAGGAATTGAAGCACGCTTTGCAATGCTTTGCACGGCTTGAAAAAAAGCGCGGGGGGTTGGTTGGGGGGGGGGGGGGCAGCCCCCCCATTTGCAACACAATGCTCACACGATGAGTTTCACTCGAACTCGATTCCGCAGCGGTCTGGTCTGACCTACTAGCTAGCTGTAGCTCACGACTTGTTGTCGCGGCCGCTCTGTGGCGGCGGTTAACAGCTTCGGGTATGGACAGCAAGAGACGTCCCGCAGGAACCGGAGTTCAACTAGACTGCAGGCAAAACGGTCTCAAGCGCAACAGAGCCTACTCGGACCTACCGTGGACAGGAAAAGAACGTATTCACACAAACTCTAATGGACAGTGTATATACAAGAGATACTACTCTACGGCTGGTCTCACAGTCCGCTCACTCACAGGGCTAAACAGTGTGGGCACGCTTGTGCCGCAAATTTCCGGGGGCCGATGCAAGAACGGCACCCCCGTGCTGATGGAGCAACGCGCGGCTGCATTTGGTGACGTGAGTTGAAAAGGATTCGGTACACTAAAGAAGAAGAGCAAAAGCACCCAGGGAGAAGTGAGTCCATCTCATTTTTCGACGCACTAGACTCTGCGGTCGGGCGATCTGAGCATGAGATGCTGGTTTTATGGCGATGTGGCCGAAAGGTCGGCTTCACATGTGCCACGATGGGTTCAACAAGATTCATAGGCTTTGAATCACGCTTTGCACGGCTTCAACAAGCGCGGGGGTTGGGGGGGGGGGGGGGGGCAGCCCCCCGATTTGCAACCACAATGCTCACACCATGGGTTTCAACAAGATTCATAGGAATTACGGCTTGAAAAACCGGGGGTGGGGGGGGGGGGGCGCACCCCCCCCCCCTCCCCCCAATTGCAACACAATGCTCACATGATGGGTTCCAACAAGGTTCATAGGCTTTGAAGCACGCTTTGCACGGGCTACAAGAAGCGGCAGGGTTGGGGGGGGGGCAGCCCCCCCCCCCCCCATTTGCAACACATTGCTCACATGATGGGTTTCAACAAGATTCATAGGCTTTGAAACACGCTTTGCACGGCCTAAAAAACAAAGCGGGTGTGAGTTGGGCTGCGCCCCCCCCCCCCCCCCCCCCATTTGCAACACAATGCTCACATGATGGGTTCAACAAGATTCATAGGCTTTGAATCACGCTTTGCACGGCTTAAACAAGCGCGGGGTTGGGGGGGGGGCAGCCCCCCCGATTTGCAACCACAATGCTCACACCATGGGTTTCAACAAGATTCATAGGAATTGAAGCACGCTTTGCACGGCTGAAAACAAGCGGGGGGGTGGGGGGGGGGGGGCGCAGACCCCCCCCCCCCAATTGCAACACAATGCTCACATGATGGGTTCCAACAAGGTTCATCGGCTTTGAAGCACGCTTTGCGCGGCCTACAAGAAGCGGCAGGGTTGGGGGGGGGGCAGCCCCCCCCATTTGCAACACATCGCTCACATGATGGGTTTCAACAACACTCAGCATGCATTGCACGGCCGAAAAAACAAAGCGGGTGAGTTGGGCCGCGCCCCCCCCCCCCCCCATTTGCAACACAATGCTCACATGATGGGTTTCAACAAGATTCATAGGCTTTGAATCGCGCGTTGCACGGCTTAAACGAAGCGGGGGCGTTGGGGGGGGGGCGCAGCCCCCCCTCCATTTGCAAACACAATGCTCACATGATGGGTTTCAATAAGATTCATAGGCTTTGAAGCACGCTTTGCACGGCCTAAAAAACAAAGCGGGGGAGTTTGGGGGGGGGGGGGGGGGGGGGGGGGGGGGGGCGCGGGCCCCCCCATGTGCAACACAATGCTTACATGATGGGTTTCAACAAGATTCATAGGAATTGAAGCACGCTTTGCACGGCTTGAAAAAAAGCGCGGGGGGCGCCCCCCCATTTACAACACAATGCTCACACGATGGGTTTCAACAAGATTCATAGGCTTTGAAGCATGCTTTGCGCGTCTTTCTGTCTTTCTTTCTTTTGTATTTCGTTCTTTATTTCTTTCGTTCTGTCCTTATTTCTTTCTTTCTTTCAATCTTTCATTCTTTCAGTTTTTCATTCTTTCTTCCTTTCATTATTTCTTTATTTCTGTATTTCTTTCTTTAATTGTTTTTTATTTATTTATTATTTATTTCTTTTTTCTTTATTTCTTTCTTTCGTTTTTATTTCTTGCTTTCTTTCTTTCTCTTCTTCTCTTGTCAACACCTGCAAAAAGTAACGATTTCCTATGAAAACAAGAAACCACGAAAATGCACCCAATTTTCATGAAAATATAGAGAAAATGTTTTCCTAGGAAAAGCCAAGAAAATCGACCCGAAAAAAATGAAAGACCGCAAAAATAGGCCCTCCGTTTAAAACATGGAAAGCTCCAAATCAGCACCGCGGAAGCTCGAAACGGACCCTCCCTTGAAGTCTATTCTGTGCCGCAGAAGCCACGCCGTGTCGAAAAGAGGAAATTAGAATTGTTGGTCATTAGATCGCGCAAGAAAGACCGAATCAGAAAACACGGAAAGCTCCAAATCAGCACTGCGGAAGCTCGAAACGGACCCTCCCTTAAAGCCCATTCTGCGCCGCGCAGCCACGCCGTGTGTACAAGAGAAAATTAGAACGTTTGGTCATTAGGTCGCGCCGGAAAGACTAAATCAGAAAACTCGGAAGGCTCCAAATCAGCACCGCGGAAGCTCGAAACGGACCCTCCCTTGAAGCCCATTCTGCGCCGCAGGAAGCCACGCCCCCTCACCCTGAACCTAAGCCCTAAACCCGTAAAAACACACAAGCCTAAACAACCCTACAAACCCTAAAAAGCCAAAACCCTAAACCCTGAAAACCTCCAAGCCCTAAGCCCTAGCAAAACCCTAAACCGTAAACCCTGAACCCTAAACCCTAAACCCTGAAACCCCCTAAACCCTAAAGACCCTAAACCTATACCCGAAACCCTAAATAACCTTAAACCCTAAACGATAAAATAACCCTGACCCCTAAACCCTAAACCCTAGACCCTGAAAGCCCTTAAACCCCAAAACCCTAAAAACCCCAAAGCCGTAAACCCTAAGAACCATTTACATAAGAATATAAACTGGTAAGGCATAGGGGTCTATGGCTTTCCGGATAAGGTCTATCCTGAGGGTAGTAGGGGCCTATGGAAAATGGATAGGGGTCTATGCGGCACAGGGGGGTTGTATAGGTAGGGATAGGGTGCATAGAGGTCTATGGAAAATGGAAGACCCCTGTGCATAGGGGTCTTTCGGAAAGTCGGCAGGGCCGATGCATAGGGGTCTGGCGCATAGGTACCTATCTAAAAACCCATAGGGTCGATATAGGGGGGTCTATCGACGCCTATGATAAACAGCTACTTGCGGACCTATCTCCGAGTAAGAGTTTGATAAGTAAACCCTAAACCCTAAACCCTAAACCCTAAACCCTAAACCCTAAACCCTAAACCCTATAAACCCTAAACCCTAAACCCCCCTGAGCCCTAAAGCCTAAAAAACCCTAAACATCCTAAACTCTAAACACCCCTAACAACACCCTAAAAACCCCTAAGCCCTAAAAACCTTGACAACCCCTGAGCCCCTGAACCCACCAGAACCCTACACCCTAAAACCCCTAAACGTCTGAACCCATAAAACCTAAACCCAAAAAAACCTAAGCGGCAAACTCTGAAAACACCTAAAACCTAAACCCGAAAAAAACCTAAACCCTCAAAACCCTTAAACCTATACCCTAAACCCGTAAACCCTGAACCCTTTAAAAAAAAAAAAAAAAAACAAACTGAAACCTAAACCCTAAAAACCCCTACACCCTAAAAACGCCTAAGCCCTATCGACCCTAAACACCCCTAAGCCCGAAAAGACCTATACATAAGAATATAAATCGATAAGGCACAGGGGTCTATGGTTTCCCGGATAGGGTGGGTCTATTCTGAGGGTAGTAGGGGCCTACGGTTTCGTGTCGCGCTTTGTTGTACAAGCTTCAGAGTGTTAACGGTTTCAGACTAGGGGTTGGAGGGGAAAGCAGATCTACGACTGTGAACATAGTTTTCGAAGGCGCCTAGTACGCGTCATGTTGGAGCCTCGCGTTTTCACATTCTGCCCTGCAATGCGTCAAGTTGGCTCCCGGTCGCTTGAATACGCCTAGTATGCCTCGTGTTCCCTGATTCGCCCCCCCCCCCCCCATCCATTTGGTTCCAGGTGGTTTGTCGATTGCAGCCTGGGTTCTCCGATTGGAGCCTGCCCGTTATCGGACTTACGTTGAGTTGATTGGGGTCCATTCACGCTCCCTCCCCTGGGACCCCCCTGCTCCTGAGACCAAACCCCTCCTCGGACCCCCCCCCCTGAACCGCTCTGGGACCCCCCCTGAGACCCCTCCCTCAAACCACCCCCGCTCCCCTTTTGTTGAGGCCCTCGCTAAAGCATACGCACGGTACACACACACACACATGCTGCCGCAAGAATGTGCACAAACCCTTGTGGGCAGACAGTGGATGATGCCCTGAATGACTGGGCGGCCCAACCTTGTTAATACCCCCATGCCGCCTCATCTCAGTAGCTGCAAATCGATGCAGGATTTGTCGTACCAACAGTTGCAAAGAGAAATAGACCAAGTCAATGCAGCCAGCACTGATATTCATCTTGCTTGTGAATCTGCCTGCATGGCATCGGCGAGATACTTGCCCTGCAGCCCATGCAAGTGCTTGATTGAACTGATCGATGTCCAAGGCTCCTGACACACGTGCAACATGTCGATATAGCGAGTCGATTTCTTGGCGCAGCGGTCCTGGGCTTCTCTGGGGCTTGCTTCGCGGCTGCGGACCCGCGTTGAGACAGCCATGCCCATGCCACCTAACGACTCAAGACTCAAGATGCACGGATCAGAGGATCTGATACAAAAAATGTCTGCCTCTGGAAGCGAGCAACGCTTCCAGCTCATGAATCCTGCACAGCACCGCATCACAATTGACGCGTTCGTGCACTGGCCATGACAACACGAACGCCCCATCTTTCCTGGATCTCAACTTCGCCTCTCTGTTCGCAGCGATCCTCTGAAGAGAGAAAGAGAGAGCCGTCTGGAGAGTCAAAGAGAGAAGTAAACGAGAAGACAGAGAGAGAGAGAGAGAGACAAAGAAGACCGAGTGTCAAGTGAAAACTTGTCATTTTTCTTTCGCCTCATCCGGCGCTCGACACAAAGCGTTGCCACTTCGCAGAAATGACCTCTGTCAAGCATTCTCCAAAGTAAAAACTCAGCCACGTCGTGCACAAAGCCGAAACTCAGGTGTTAAGTGCATAGCACACGAGCTTCCTGCAGTACGAGCACCGCAGGCCTGGATCACTTCAGCGCGGTTGCCAACAAACTCAGAGTCAGACAAAGTGGTTGAGGCATCGAGGCCTTGATCCCACAATCCCGTCAAAAAGGCATCGCATTGGCTGCACCACTCTGGGTGCCAGAGCGTCTCGACCTTTTGCTGTTCAACACAGCGCAGGTGCCGCGCAGCCCGGTCCGATGAAAGTCGGACTGCCTGAAAGTTGTGGTCCTCGGACTCCGCATCCGCAATCTCCCCATCCTTGCAGGAGCAATCACCAATCAGAAAGGCAGTAGCACCCAGTTCTTACTGAGTCTTAAAGATTATGGCCTGTCCATTGGCGGCGCTGACAGAGCCAGATATTGAGGCCGGCGGGTCCAGGCTGCCCCACCTTCAGATTTGGGTCCGGGTCCAAGCATGCGGCCACGGAATGCAAATTGGCTGCGATGGTCTCTGAATCAGACAGTCACAAGAGGAGTCTGCCCAGTCTTGCAAGAGCCCATTGCAGGATAAAGCTCTCGACTCTCGTTCTTCCATCTCCTTCCACATAGTCTACACCGTGATAGTTTGTGTATGCGTTGGCTTTGTGTACACAAGTGCGCCACTATGGCAGCCAGGACTTTCTTGTTGCATAAGGCAGGCCTGTTCAGCACATTGTGTCCTGCGAGTGTTCTCTTTGTACACGCTCCATAGCAAAGATGTTGCTGACAGCTGCCAGTTGGGTGACGCTGTTGATATCCGACGCCATTTGAGAAGGACTTGTACAGACCTACATGCAATTTTGCCGTTGCGCACGTTCTACGAACGACTTGAACCTACTTGAACGGGTGTAGCCTCTGCAACCAGTGTTCCTCTGAAGGAGATGCTCCAGGTCGTTCGTCTGCATCGGCACACGTCTCCTCCGTCTCCTCCTTTGGAGTTGCAGGGGAGCCAACATGAGCCTCTGGAGAGCATGGAGAGCCTTCAGCGGGGGATTTTAATCAACTTTTGGAATCCTTGAAGGCATCGTCCGAATCAAAAACATCTGCGGTCTCCCGGTACTCGTCAGAAGGGCCGCAGCAGCACGCGCACCTCAAAGCAAATCAAAGCAAACATAGACCCCGGAAACCGCATATGAGATCACATGAACTTCAAGCCGCTGCAGGGAAGAATGGCTGCAAAATCAGGCTTGCGCAGCCGATAGCGGGACAAGCAAGTCTTCGGCTTTGCATCGTGTTCCCGCATTTACCGCACGGCGCAGGGTGACCCCGGTTGGCCACATCATCTTTCAACAGAACAATCGGCGGGTGGGGGTTGGTGGGTGGGGCTGTGTAAAGTGCTGGCCATGTTTGACGTCAGAACTACGCGGCTAGAAGTTGCACATGGAAGTTTCATCAAGCAACTGATCCGCGTGACTGAGCCATCAGGATGAGGTTTGCATATTCGCTCGTGTCCCATGAGCCCGTGAACCATGACCTAATACGACCACACGGCGTCTCAGCATGCACCTTTGCAACAGGGTCTCAATGGTAGACGTCCCGTGCGAGGGATTCAAAAAAGGGAGACAAGGGAGTGATGCGTCTGATTTGGTTCGTCTAGAAGGAGACAAAGGGGAGACAAGCGAGAGACAAGACGGGTGACAAGAAAAGGCGTGCATCCAGTGATCTGGTTGTGCGTCTGGGGGAGATAAGAAGAGAAACAACAAGGAGACAAAACCTAGTATACCTAGTCACAATCCCAGCTGCGGGCCAATCACTCACTTTTCAAAAAAAATGTAGCATGCCCTGCACCCTTAGAGGGAACGGGCGTGGAAAATAAAACTTTCATTAAAAAAAGGAACGCCAAGACATGAACTGTTGCGTGAGTTTTCATATCGTACCTGTATGTATGCACACGATGTACGGGCATGTTATCAAATGAAGGGACATCTCAAACTGGACTGGGTTCAATGTAATTCTCTATTTAGGGGCAGAATGGGGCAGAGCTCACTAAAGCGTTTTTTATGCGGGCTTGGAAACCCACATCCTGAAAGTCCCACTCCCCTCACTACAACAGCCTCCAAACCAGTTCCCCAGAACCAAGTCGGGACACCCGTGCCGCTGTTTTGTGGTTTACAGGCTGGACTGTGGCTGTTGCCAGGGGCACTGGCTGACAAAATGAGCTCCGTCAACTAAAGCCCATGGCGAGCGTTATCTCAATTAACGCGGACATGCAACGAGGTGTCGCTCAGCATCACGTTCTGTTGCTGGTTGGCATGCCCTAGGCCCAGTGGCTGCCAGCTTCAGGTACTTGCAAGCACTCTCAACATTCTCATCCTGTTCACAAACGCTTAATGATCTATTATGTACATGATGCCACAACACCAACTCCATTCCTTTCTTCCTCATCGCAGCGTTTCGGGATGTCCGCGCCAATAGCTTCAGCCTTGAGGTGGCATTCAGCTTTCATGCCAACTGCATTGTGGTTGCCCATGGCGGCCGAGCTTGTGGCCTAATGCTTGAAACGGCGAGACCTTTTTCTGCACGACAAGGCTTCGAGTTTGCAGGATGATTGTCGGCATGCTCGTGAGCACGCACAACTGAGGCATCAACTGCACGAGGGCCGGCCCAGGGATCGCCGCCTGGGAGATTCTGGAGATATTGGCGCTTATCATCACACGCACCGTGCGTACCAGCGCAATGTCGAGCGGCTGAACACTGGCCCTGCGCTAACACTTTGAAATGCTCCATGTCCCTCCGCCGGTGATGGTCTGAAGCAAGACCTCGCGCGAACCGCTGATAAGACCAAAGTCTTATTGCAAGTGGCGTCCTATCGTCAACGATGTGCATGTCGAGCATGAGCGCAAGGGGGAGGGGGGCAGTGGCGGGCAGGAGGAGTGGGGGTGGAGGGAGTGGGGGTGGAGGGAGGGGGGGACGAGGGAGGGGGGGACGAGGGAGGGGGGGACGAGGGAAGGGGGAGGGGGAGGAATCATTCCTACGTTCCTGGTGTCAAGCATGCCCACTGCGGGATTCAATTGGAAAGTGTGCAGAACATGAACACCTTCCGAAGGCGTCCAAAGATGCCGGCACCCACCACCCCAAAGAAGGCCAAGACCGTCAGCCAGCAACCGCGGACGTGACCAATTCGCCGTTGTCGTACGCAGACGCTTGGCGGGCAAGCTAGTGGCGGAGTGGTATGCTCCGTTGCGCGGGCGCCACTCGTGGGGCCTCCTGATATCGTCTTAGCGGCCAGGCGCAACATCAGACGGCGCCGAGAAGAGGAAAAATTTCTATGATCAACCTCCATCAGCGCCTTGGCATGGCATGCAGTTTCCGTTTTTTCGTTGATTTCTGCGGAGAGCCGGAGCTGAATTTAGCCTGCGAACACAAAACCGTCGGCTGCTAATTCGTGGTACCTCCTCGTTTACCGGTGACTCGATGTGGATGTTAGCAGTGCAAGAGTACAACACCGGCTTAGGGTATAACGGAGTTCTGAAGGCATATGAGCTGTGACTCGAGCGTTTCGGCTCTGCTTTTTTGGTCCCACCCTGCCCGCCCTGCTCGGCAGCGAACTCTGTCATACGTATACCTCCGATTGCAATGACATTCGTATTGTTGGACGTTCGGCTCCTTTTGGCCCGTTGCCCACCGATGACTCGATATGGGCGTTTGCAGTGTGATGTACAAAGCGCACCACCTGACATGGCAGAGTCGAACTACGCAAAGTTAAACAAGCACAAAGAGGCTGCTAGTGCTTTGTATAGTTTTGACACGTGTGAGTGATAGCCAGCAGAGCACTACAATATTATGGCATTTTAACTGTCCCTGTCCTTCATCAGTACTTGCAAGGTTGCAGTACGACTAGAACTCGGCGAAAGAGCATTCGATATATCACACACAGTCTCTGTGTGTGTGTGTGTGTGTGTGTGTGTGTGTGTGTGTGTGTGTGTGTGTGTGTGTGTGTGTGTGTGTGTGTGTGTGTGTGTGTGTGTGTGTGTGTGTGTGTGTGTGTGTGTGTGTGTGGTGTGTGTGTGTGTGTGTGTGTGTGTGTGTGTTGTGGTGTGTGTGTGTGTGTGTGGTGTGTGTGTGGTGTGGTGTGTGTGTGTGTGTGTGTGTGTGTGTGTGTGGGTGTGTGTGTGTGTGTGTGTGTGTGGGTGTGTGTGTGTGTGTGTGTGTGTGTGGTGTGTGTGTGTGGTGTGTGTGTGTGTGTGTTTGTGTGGTGTGTGTTGTGTGTGTGTGTGTGTTGTGTGTGTGTGTGTGTGTGTGTGTGTGTGTGTGTGTGTTGTGTGTTGTGTGATGTGTGTGTGTTGTGTGTGTGTGTGTGTGTGTTTGTGTGTGTGGTGTGTGTGTGTGGTGGGTGTGTGGTGTGTGTGGTGTGTGTGTGTGTGTGTGTGTGTTGTGCGTTGTGTGTGCGTGCGCGTGCGTGTGCGGGCGTGACGTGCGGCGTGCGTGCGTGTGCGTGCTGCGTGTGCGTGCGTGCGGCGTGCGTGCGTGTGCGTGTGCGTGTGCGTGTGCGTGTGCGTGTGCGTGTGCGTGTGCGTGTGCGTGTGCGTGTGCGCGTGCGCGTGCGCGTGCGCGTGCGCGTGCGCGTGCGCGTGCGTGCGCGCGTGTACGTGCGTCTGTGGCTGCGTGTCCGACAATGACCCCACCGCTTCCTACAGTGCCTTTGCTGATCAAGCACTGCAACGCATTGCAGTGCAATACAGTAGCTCTCCGCATATTTGGTGCTGGCCGACATCTCATGCATGCGATCTTTCCTGAAGGACCACGAGGAACAAAACATGGTGATGGTGGCCCAGAAGCGCAATCCACTTTCCAAATGTGGCGTTTTGTGACAACATCATATGGTGTCACAGCTTGAGGGTGTCAGTGTGGGTGTCACCTCGGAAAGAATCAAGCTTCGAGCACAACACGTCAAGTGTTCACGCGCCATGGTTAGTGTCCCAGAGCCCGTGCTTCTCTTGTGCTGGGCTGGTGCAAAACATGCGAAAGCAATTGGCCTAGTATTAACCTACGGTTTGAGGGTGGGTCGAGCCGCAAGGCCGGTGGGGGGGTCGCCCGGCTTGGGCGCTGTGACCGTTGCAAGGGCCTCATGCTTCCTCTCCAGCGTATGCATGATTATGCATGTGTATGCATCGTGCTCACATGCCGTGCAGGCCTGGCTAGCAACCAAAGTATCGCTGCGATGGCTAGAATCAACAAGCACAGCTCGAAGGTTGACCTTCGTCACATCAAGTATCATCATGCGAGTGAGCACTTGCAGGCGCAAGAATTGTCTAACAACTCCCAAAGTGAGCAAAAGCTCACGGAAGTGCAAGAGGCCTGTCATCCGCTTGTAGGCACTCCACCTGCGCAAGGAAGAAGTCTGAAACCGCTGTCGAAAGAGTCTGTGGTTTGGAGAACAACTGGCCTGTGTATTCGCTGCCGAATGGGAGACAGATCCCCACTGCAATTTCAGAATCTCACATTTGCTCAGAAACAATTGTCTTTTTGCAGATGTTGGATTCAGAGCGCTCTCGCATGAGCTGGCACGCACTTTCAAAAACACCGTTTGTTTCAAAAACCCCCTTAGAAAAAATCGAAAGAGCGAGCGCTCAAGGAAAAAAGAGTCCGAAATAGCGGGCGCTCCAGGAGCGAGCAGGCGCCTCTTCGGCAACTTGAAGGCAGCACGATCGGCTGTATGGTATTCGGAGCGAGCGCAGGATGACGAGCGTACGGCTTCACAGCCATCGTTTGATTTGCTTCAAGATTGCCTGAAAAAATGGATTCGGAGCGTGCCTCCTAACGTTTGTAGCTTGGGGGATTCAGTACTTGCCAACTTAGGCAGCAAGGCGATTTCCAACATTGCGAAATGCACATCCCCGCCGTGCCAAGCCAAGATGCTCAAGCCGAAGCAGCATCAGAAGCACGGAAACACGTTTTCGCTACGCTGTACATTGCCGGACGCAAAACGAGCCCTTGGCGGGAGCACGATCTCCACCCCTAAACACGTCCTAAAATATCCTCAAAAACACCTAAAAATATGCAGGGGACCTAGGCGAGAGCGCCAGCATCCAGGAAACACAAAGCACGAGCTGCACATGGTTCCCGAATGTTCCCGATCTCCGAACTCCGCGGTCCCCGACCTCGCTGGGTCCTGCTATAAGCGAAACCTGGAACATGTGGAACCTAGTGCGACGCAACCGGTAACAGAGGCCAAAAGCAGCGCATGGAAAACGGCGGTCCAGGATTGGTCTATTCTCACGTGTCACGGGGCATCCGTGCACATGTATGAGAATGCGCACACTTGCTGCTTTGGCTTTGGCTATTCATCGTGGTACACTGCACCACCATGCGGGCAGGCGCTATGCACCAAAAAAGGCTTCTTTGCACGGGAAGCAAGCCGCATGAGGTCATGAACTGCAGGAAATCGTTCTGCTTCATGACGATGGTGGAGTCCGGCTCGCCTTCATGCTTGGCGAACGCTTGACGGGAGATCACTGACGTGTAGGACTCCAGTTGTGGAAGTGCGGCGAGTTGCATGTAGCGTCTGGGATGGCGAAAGGTCGGCAGTAAGTGGGTTCAGGCGGTACTGGTCGGTGTCGGCTTTTTGTTCCGGTTGAGGAAGTCGACGATGTTGTCGCGCTGCCACGTTCCCTGTCGGAAGTATGCCAAGGGCTTGCATGAATTGATCCTCCAGCATCCAAGGATCTTAGCACGGCGGATGGAGTACGACTCTGGTTTCGACCCTGTTTTTAAAGACCAGTCCTGTTCCGGCACCCCTTTGCACGCCCATTGCTCCAGTCGAGTCCTATTGCGGCTTCCCAGCTGCGACCTGTAGACCCAGCATCATGAGCTGCTGCAGCTCCAAAATTCCTCTTCCAAACCTTTAGCGATAGTACTGAACAAGAAGGTCCGACTGGCACGTCCCCCGTTTCCAGAAGGTGGGTGATAAGCCTCGAAAACCGCATGGCGCGGAAGTCTCCCCCCCTTCCACGATCAGCCGCGCATCTTAGAGATGACGAAACAGCCCTCAGCTCAAGCTTGACGAGGGAGAGTTTGTCCAAGAACTTGGAAACCCGAGACAAACCACCTCTGTCTTGGAGAGTTTTGGGGCGACCCGACTGGCGCAGTTTTTTTAAGAGGGGCAGTGCTGTGATGTGCTGTGACGTGCTGTCAGTTCCGCGCCTTCTTCGTCGGCTCAATGCGAACTCGGAAATTGTTAGCCTGTCAAGAGGGCTGCGCCGCTGCGCTCCAAGCAATTATGGCAAAAAAGGGCCTTACAAGAAGTTAAGGGCTTGGCCTGAGTCGTCGCTGGGCACCAGACCGTGAGCTGCACCTGCAGTTTCCAAATTTGCAATCGTGTGACAAACTGAATACAAACTGACAACATGCGCGATGCAAGCGTGCCCGCCACCTCCTCGACACTTCCCCACTCCACCGCACCGTGCCAGAAGAGATGCAGGGCTACCAATGGCCTCGCACGAAGACGACAGAAGTAAGAGAGTCCCTAGCAGGGAGATATAGGGAGATCTGAGATGCCCTTGTGTGTCGCTTCTGCTCGTGCTCCTCAGGCTTGCACTCTTGGTACGACTGGCGAACCTGTCATGCAAAGAAGCCCTTGTATGGGCAGACATGTCCAAACAGGGGAAGCACACACCCTTCAGAAGAGCCAGAATATGAGCACCCTGTTCTCTGTTCAACATCAAAAGTACGTTTTCAATGCGCGTTTTCGTTGGGCTCCCAAATGCATGAACTCTGAATTTGGCGCCAGGAGATTCCATGCACTTGGAGTGCCCGCCTGAATGGAGATGTTGCCCCGCCGTGGATTTCGGATCGGGGCGAGGTCTGCCTTTTTTGACAAAAACATTGTTGCTACGACATAAAGACTATTTCGCGCATTCAGCCGACTGCCACGGAAACAATCCACGCCAATGAGGAACCGGATGGAACAATGCCTGGATGGCATGGCCGCCGGTCCAGATTGTGACCTGATCAATTGCGCATCACATGTCGGGGCACAGAATGGCACAGACCTTAAGGTTTCGGGGCTACTTTTGTCGGACTTTAAACAGTCTAAACGGTAGCAACCATACACATGCTTGATGAAATATGGTCGTGGCATGTGAGACGATGCAATTGACACTGGGCAACACGCAGTGGATTGCGGACTGGAAGTGCTCAGAGTTGAGCACACCTCGCTAAGTGGTTGGTGATAGAAGCAGCTGCATGAGCATGACCCGACTTCCCTATGCATTCTGCAGAAACCACACACAGGGGGTCCTCTCCATCTTCCACGATCTGCCCTGCCTCACCAAAAGGCATTTGCAGGCTATAACAGGCTAACCGGCAAGGTCTGGGCAGCATAAAGCAGGTAGCGAAATGTATCTAAGGGTGCCAGGACTTGGCATCCTGGTACATATATGCCTGCGTGGAACCGAGCCCCATGAAGGCGTGTGCGAAGACCTCCTGAACTCTCGGCAGGCCCAGGGCCGAGGCGGGGTCGCGTGCGTCAAAATTAAAGCAATCCGTCCGAGAAGCTCTGCAAACAGGACACTGAAACTACCTTGGTTACGGCGAAAATGGTCCAAAACATCTCAGTAGCCATCATATTACGCTGTAGCTGCTTGCTGCTCATCTTTGATGCTTTTACGTAAGCTCAACCAGAATCCCAGGTCCTTACTTAACTTACATTGAGCTGGAAGGTCATATGATTCCTGGCAGCATTTTGGCATCTGCCTCCACACTGCGTAATTTATCACTCACCTCCAGCTCATCTACACAATTGATTTCTTCGTCCAGGCATGCGCTGGTGATTTCCTGAATCTTGTTTAAAAGCCTACTTCACTCCAAGCAATGCAGAAAGGGTGCCTGTACACAAGGTTACGCTGAGTACACGCGCACTGCGAGCACTAGCCAAGCGTATAGAGCAGCTTGGGGGCCTGGAGGATGCGAAACTGTGGTGTGAAGACCCATTCGAGGACAGCACCTCCGGATTCCATCCCCATCAAAAACAGGTCGCACACACGCGCACACGCAAAGACAAAGATTTCGGCGATGCTGTGCACAGTGTACACATCTGTGCACATCTTCGTACCTCCACCGACATTTCCAGGCAGGGAGGCTGCAAGGCCCAGGCGAGTCGGAGCCAACCTGTTGGACAAGTTATGGAGTCGCAAGCAAAAAGCTCGAAAGTTGCCGGGTGCCGGGTTATGCGCCGGGTTGCAGTGCGCACTGTGCGTTCATGAATGCGCCGCCCCTTGAGACCACCACAGCCCAAAGGATCCAAAAGCACGTCAGCTCTGCTCAATGAGCGCTGCTCAGAAAGCACTGCTCAAAGCACTGCGGAACTGACCTAATTAAAAAAGAAATGTTTCGCTGGTCCGGCCGTGTGCTTCCCACCGTCCGTCCGACCGCCCTAAACCCTTACATTTCGCGCTGCCTGTCTGCCTTTCCGGCATCTTTCTCCCAGCCCTACTCTCAACCTTGCTCCCTCCTCCTCCTCAACCGGCCGGTACGGCAGAACTGCGTGCAGACAAGAGACCCTTCTAGTTAAATCGTATGTCACTGCATGTCTGTACATGAGGGTCGGGACTGGGCACCTCTGTAATGCTGTCGCCGAAGGCTCTCTGGCGGTAAGCACACATGCATCACCGAGTGCCTGCGATCAGCTCGTTCACTGCGACCAACTAATTCGCCAGATGGCAACATGCCATCACCCGCAAGCAAGAAAAAAAACAACTGTTCAAAGACGCACACACACACACACAACATGGGAAGTTGCAGTCCTGGAAGGTGAAGAACTCCAGCATTGCTGCCTCTTCGGCAATTTCGCGATTCGGCTATTTCTCTTGCTACAAGCGGACTCTAATTCACTCCATAGTGTCCATGAACTGAGAGGGGAAGTTGTTCAAGAAATCTGTGGGCACATCCTCAGACCCTGGGTGAACCTGGGTTGGCTCGCACTGGAGGCGAAAGTTCTGCACCAAGAACGGGCCGGACCTTTCAAAGCTCTACAGTGTCAGGCATTGCGGCGTTGAAGTCTTCACCGACTAACAGCTCTGAGGTTGTCGTGCTGCAGCAGGACACACTGAACCTGAAGCGCGGGCAGGAACTGATTCTCCAGCTGGGAAGGGCCATCCTGTCGCGGACATACACCCGCCAAGTCAGTATGAGGCTGGCAGCACTGTCCACACGCTTTCGACAATGGACAGCAGCAACATGCATCGATAGATCAGGCCTGAAAAGCAAGGAACTTGACTTGTATCGGCTCTGAGTTGGCCTCCACCAACACACTGCCGCTGCTCAAGAATCAGCACATCATTGACAGTAGAACTTCAATGATTGCACTTAGCACCAACGAACATTAGCCAAGCGGGACCAGTGTCATGTTCACCGATCCCGTGTTTCGGCCCTGAGACCCGTGTCCTCGGGGTTTACAAGTACACCTCTGATGCCAGATCGGGAATTCACGCGACTACTACTGAGTCTTTCAAGTCCGCCGAGGCCTCGGGCCGAAGGTGCATAGGTAGTCAGAACAGGCACCCCCCTCCAAATCCTCCCCCCAAGCCCAGAGCCCTTTTTCGGACCCCTTTTTTTGCCTCAAATGGGTACCCCCCCTAGGTGAGCAGGGTCCGCAAGCGGATGGTTCGCCAGGACCAGAGGCAGTTGCAGCCCTTCCCAGCAGGGCCCCCCCCTTTTTCACCCTCCCCCCCCCCCCCCCCCCTCCCCCCCCCCCCCCTCCCCCCCCCCCCCCCCCCCCACCCCCCACCCCCCCCCCCCCTACCCCCCCCCTCCCCCCCCCCCTACCCCCCCCCTACCCCCCCCCCCTACCCCCCCCCCCCACCCCCCCCCCCCCCCCCCCCCCCGCTACCCCCCCCCCCCCTACCCCCCCCCCTCCCCCAAAAGCCACATGAGCGGCTGGCTCGAGGTGCTAATGGACGCAACAAGAGGGGCTTGATGTTTGTAGGTGTCGCTATAGCACACCCAATGGTTCATAACCTCAGGGTGTCGCTTTTCAAGTGTCCCCATCGTTTTACAGGGTTTTGGGCATTCGTGTCCACCCCTTGCTTAATTGAATGGCTGGGGGTTTTGGCGCTTGCTCACATAAGGTGTTTGTGAAAGGCGGAGTTTTCCTGCTCCGACGCGCTGCCCTCAAGCCGCCGAGGCCTCGGGCCGGAGGTGTATAGGTTGTCAGAACAGGCTCCAACTTTTTTTGGCCTCAAATGGGTACCCCCCCCTGGGAAACCGGGGTCCGCAAGCGGACGGTTCGCCAGGACCAGAGGCAGTTGAAGCCCCTCCCAGCAGGGCCCCCCCCCCCCCCCCCCCCCCCCCCCCCCCCCCCCCCCCCCCCCCCCCCCCCCCCCCCCCCCCCCCCCCCCCCCCCCCCCCCCCCCCCCCCAACCCACCCCCCCACCCCACCTCCCCCCACCCCACCTCCCCCCTCCCCCCCACCCTGCCGAAGAGTCGCCTTAAACCTTAAGGGGGCTCAACCCTACGATCACTCCAAGCCGAACCCTAAACCCAAAAAAACCCTCAACCCCAAAGCGTGAACCTTGAGCCCTAAACTAACCCTCAACCCCAAACCCCAAACCATAAACCATAAACCCGCAACCCTCAACCCTCAACCCTCAACCCAACCCTTATTGCTTGGGGTCCAGCGACTTGGGCGCTGCGGAATCACCATGCTCACGCAGATGCGCTGGGCCGGGCCGAGGCGGGTCGCGTAGCGTTAAAATTAGAAACTGTCGTTCAAACTTCAATCATGCTCTCTCTTGTTCAACTTTTTCGTGCGAAGGCACGATCAAACACGAATTGCCAAATTCTGAGCGTGGACTGCCGCACCTCATTGGAAAAGATTTTCCTCGCAGCTAGTATCGGCGAAGGTCCACCCTGTGGCACATGGTCAAAAGGCAACTCGCGCGACATTCAAGGTCTGAGTCCGGTTTTAGGTTGCCCTTGCTTCTGCCTCCGGTGCAGAATGAACTACCAGCCGGCCAGCATGGGCAACGGTGACCTGACAAGGCTGCAGGCCGTCTCGGTTGAGCCAAATCCACATCTGGAAGCTGTCGAAGCCTCTACGAAACCCCTCTTACATGCTCTTACATCCTCTTATGCGTCAGAAAACCAGTCTGCCAACCTGGATATCGGCGGTGACGATGCCATCGCAGTATCGCAGCGTAGCCACTCCTGAACAGCAGCGCTTTCCGAAACGGGTTTGACATGGTTTGATGAGGTGTGATGCAGGTGTATTTCTCTTGCTTGCACGATCTAACAACAGCTCGTCCTGGCTCTCGCGCCAGCCCTGCAACTCTTGGACCCTCCACTTGAACAACATGTGGTTGCAGCGAATGCCACCCTGCAATTGCTTCTGCAGACCTGAGCATGACTTGAAGTGCACCAACAGCGGCGTTCAGAAGCCCAAATACGCCATTCACTCCTGAAATGCTTTAGGCAACTTAAGGCACAGGCTGCAGGCCACAGACAGTCGATGCTTCGCAACAACTGCGGCAGTTCAATTTTACCTGTGCCAAGCTCATGGAGAGGCCACAAATGGCCACGAAGCTGCCCCGGCTCAGTCAGGGCATGTCAGGGCCCGAGCGCAACAGCCACCACAACGCGTCGAGGCTGCTGGCACCTCTCCAGGAGAAACGAAACGGCACTCGAAGCTGGGAGGGGAGGGACCGCATCATAAGTTATTGCAATGTGTTCTCGATTCAAGCACTTCAGTCACTTCGCTCTGAGAGTGACACGATGACACATGGCAAACTCAAACGGAAACTTGAACTCACGCGCACCTCAGCACCAGTAGCGCGCACCCCCCAACCAAAGTCCAACAGCCGCAGCATCCGCAGCCTGGCAAGGAGTTGACGCTCCGCATGGTGCGAGCCAGTGTATCTCAGATTCTCAGTGTAGGGGCCAGGCGATGTGTTGTATGGAGCATCCTGTTCGGAGCAAACAGAATGAGGAAAGCAATTTCTTGCAGTCTCTTAGGGGGACATTTGAAGAGGCAAAGCTTGAAGCGAAGAGAGAGAAGAGATGAGAGAGATACTAGAGAGATGGAGAGTGTGCCATGACACTGGGAGTGTCACGTCGGAGGTCCTCCTGGGAGGCCCAGAGGACCTCCGCAAGGTCCCGCAGGCCGAGCTCTGCACTGCGTCCAGCAGCCTCTCGGGAAGGTGTTTCTTTGAGCATTATCTAACTTTAGATATTCCAGCTCGAACTCGCTCTACGAAGATTACGGGATTCGTGTGGTCAAAAATGGTCAAAAGGGCAACGAAGCTTGAGACCGAACCAGATTTTGAAGGGGGAGGCATCCGAACAGCTCCCACCATTCTCCAAAGCTACCCTTATGAACATGCGCTGTGATAAATGCACCATTCCACGCACACTAAGCCACTATGCCGCGCTGCACTGGCGGCCCAACCAGAATCCAAAGGGATGCACGAGGGCGCCTTTGCAAGATCGCGCGCAGACACCTGGTTTGAAAGTGAAAGACAACATGCGCAACACACCATCGCATTCCAAGCTTGTCATTGATGCTTCGCCGTCCAACTTTGCAAGCATGTGGCCTCCAGATCTACTTCTGCTCCCAGGAGCGTCTCTCCTGCCTCCTCACGTGCATGCAGGACCATGCAGGCTTCGTACTTGCTGCGATGTGCAAGGAGGCTGCATGGACTGAGGCGGTCGATGCTACTTGTCTTACCTCAACAGTGTCAACAAAGGTGATCTCGAATTTGTACCGCTTGCATGCAGTGAGCGTCCATGAGCTCGATGTTTCTTTCTATGCTTCGGTCCTGCTTCACGGACCATCGCGCGCGAAGCATGCGAACCTCAAGAAAGAGTGCTTATCAGATTGCCATGGCGCTTAGGATGTTTGACTGCAAAGGATGCCGTTCTCAAAACTTAAAATCAACGTAACGTTGGAGCACTGCAACAGTCAATGCCATCGCCTGAAGTGTCTTCTTGAGCGTCTCAATGTTCCTGTACTCTGTCTCCGGGGTGCGACTGGCTCCGAAGGCTTCTGGAAGGCCTCCGTACTGGCGCCTATACCGTCGACCTCCGTTTCATGAAGCGCGCTCAAAAGACTTTTGACAATTGAAAAGTCCTTGCTTTCTCCAGGCCCTCTAGGATCTCTGAGACTGAGATGAGTCAAAACCCACGCCAGATCATCCAAATCCTGCACTAAGCCCTTGATCAAGTGTGACGACAACTTATGCATCTTTATATACACTATGTATAGACTATACATCAAAACACATCAACACATGAATCTACTGCACCCCCTTCGACTCGCTGACTCCTGGCCTGCTGCCAGCGCCGTTGCAACCTGTTCTGCCAGCTGGCCAGCAGCTTCCTCGAGGGGCCTGCATAGTGCTTGGTCATAATGCCGCAGAAGCTGTTTCGCGAATACAAAGCTTGATGTAGTTGGCCGAAGGCCGATAGCCACCCTTGGTGTTATTTGGTTTGCTTTGTTTTTGTTTTCTTTGTTTTTATTTTTTTTGGGGGGGGGGACGGGGGGGGTCATGTTTGACTGTCAGGGCTTTGAGGGCCCAACCCGAACTTCTGGGGTACCCTAGCGACCCAGGCTTCTGGGGTCCTAGCCATCAGAGCCTCTTGGACCTCGCCCAAACCTCACGCTCACCGAGGCTTTTGGGCAAACTTTGGGGGTGTCCTAGCCAATCCGGGTTGTTTAGGTACACTATAGTTGCATGTAGACGCTTCTCCACCTTTCCCTAGTCACATTCTGCTTAGCTGGCCACGGCATTGTCTGCCGCTATCGTCCGACGGATACTCTGGATGGTTGTGCTTTTCCTCGGACGATTTGGAGGCGCATTTCCTCGAGTCCGGCTTGCCAATGGGTGCTTTCGTTCTTCCTTCTTGGGCATGCATTTCGCAAGGTTGTTGTGCTTCTCACGCGTCGAACTTCGCAGAAAGAGCATCTTCCTTGACGACAGACGCAGCTCTCTCCCCTGGCAGACGTTGCAGGCCATGGCAAGTCTGCTCGGTCGCATAGTATGGTTATTGCATTGCCGCTCTTTGCCCTCCACAATCCTGCGACACCAGCGTTTAATTGTGAATTGCTTTGGCTTCATTCCTGGCCCACGCCTTCCTTGCATGTTTCCTGCCTTCCGGCGCCTTCCGGCCCTGGAGCTGCTGAAAAGGTCGGAGACGCAGAAAAAAAAAACTCTAGCACCAACACAGTAGTTTGCATCGAACGCTGACCACCATTGATTTTGCCCTGGAACCCTGAATACATCAGAATCCACGCCGACCCGTGTTTCTGTCATGAGGTTGCCCTGTCATATCACGGGCATCTATCGGCCGCGGACCAGTTGGACTGCGGCGCATGATGGTGCGTGATGTTGATTAAAGTTGATTAGTTTGTAAAGCTGCTTGATAGAAGGGTGCAGTAGGATGCCGACATAATGTTCGGCAATCGAAATCCTGATCTCGGTAGTATCTGTTGTTGCAGCAAAGGGTTGCTGTTGAGAAGTGCTCCAAAGGTTTCTGCACGACATACTCTAGCTGCGAAACACATCAGCTGCTGATGGTCAGCCTGCTAGCGTCGATTTCAGCAATCCGGAGGGAGAAGGCCTGCAAATGTAAGAGAGTGCGAAGAACTGCATGTGGTGAAGGTAGTCCCCGAGTTCAGGGCTAAAGGAGCTCGACCAGCTGCACCGCCTGTCTCCCATCCAGAGCACGCTGAGAGGACGCTGAGAGCCCCTCGAAAAATATGGCTTCGCCTGCGGCTCTCAGCTCTTCAGCGTCCAAGTTCAGCCGCGCACCGGGCCTTGACAAGCGCTTCTGCTGGCAATGCAGTGCACCAATGCAGATTAGAAGCAAGAATATACCTACTGCGGAACACCGCCTGACATCATCATGAGAGACTCTCAACTCCTCTGGAGGATTCTCAGTTTTCTTGGAGCTTCCTCTGGATTCTCTAGGACTCCCACTGCAAAAGCAGCGGCCCTTGGCCCACCAGTGCCCCTCGAACCACGCATAGTTCCGCCACATCCGAAGGCAGCTGCCTGCACTGTTGGAGCGCAACTCCTTGAATCGCATCTCTATGATCTCCGCGTGTCCTGTGTATCAAGTGTGAGCACAAGCGTGAGCATGCCTTCCATCTGGCACTCGCGCAGCAGCACTGAGGAGTGTGCAGCCCTGCAGCTGGGAAGTAATTCAGAGGCTGAGTCGGGATAGATAGATATAGATAGATTTTTTTGATTATATACATAGATCATAGATAGCATGCTGGGGTTGGACTTGCCTCGCTCAGTGGGCGCAAGTAAATCGACGTCCCTCTCGAGGAGCGATGAACCTGCGAATCTCCAAAGCAACAATTCTCTCAATCTCACTGGCCTTCCTTGATCTTGCACAGATCCTGGCCTCTGCCATCAACACAGGATGGCTGGACAGCACCTCCACCTCTGCAGACTCTTGCAAAAGAATCCTAGCATGTCATAGTGTTGATTGGAGATCCTTACTATCACCAAGCACTTCCACCACGAGACCCACATCGACTACGACGAGATGCAGAGACTCAAAGGGGAGATTCGTGGCGAAAACCATCTCCAAAAAGGTGCAGAAGAAGAATGAAAAGCAAGGACACTCGTGTTCTTTATTGAATTTTGATCGGGCTGCAAATTCCAGCAAGATCCAACGCATTGAACGAATGTCTTCGGGTCCGGGCTGCAAATTCCAACGTGTCGTAAGGCCGAAAGTTGCTTAGGCTTGGTGGCTTCCTAAACACTAAACCCTAAACCCTCAAACCCTAAACGCTATAATTACCCTGTACTCTTTACCCTAAACAGGAAGCACAGGCCTGGAAGTTGCTGGGAAGTGTCATTGTCTGACCAGCTGCCTTAGCACAAGATCCCACAATGAACACCGGAGCACACCGGAACAATGGAATCTGCAGAGTTCGACGTCGATATCCGTAAGAAGATGCCAGGTATTGTGAAGTGCCCATGTGGCTGCAAGGGCTGCTCATTACTGACACAATCTTGTGGCGGTCTTTGCTGCACACGCTTTTGTTCTTCTTCCGTTGAACGCATCGGTGTGCATCTGCCTTTTTATGTTTGCCACAGTGGCGCCTTTCACCGTCTTTTTGGCGCAACAAAAACCGGCGAAGCTTCATCTCACTTTACATGGTGGAAGATCTCGTGCGCGATGCAGTGGTCCTGCATGGATGTGTGTCTGGCCATGGCTAGGACATCAAGTCTGTGCTGTGCAATCGGAAGAAGAAATTCAACCTTCAGAGATGTCGCCCCCGTCCTGGCACATGGTCAGCTCTTCAAACTGACCCCTGCAATCGCCCTTGCCATCGGTGCGCATCGAGATGCGTTTTACGCAGCCATTGTACTCCTGCAACCAGTCTGCGCAGCTTGAGAGGCACCGGGGTTTGATCTCGTCAAGAGGGTCCTCCAACAAGGAAGGCTGCAAGCCAAGCATGCCAGGTGATATACTAAATGTATCTACATGTTCAAATGAAGTCATGAACTGCAGGATACCGCAGGCGTGCAGTCCTTGTGCTCCTCCCCGGGTTTCAGGTGGGGTGCATGGTACTTGGCAAAGTGCAAGAAGAACTGCGGACTGTAAGAAAAACTCATTGCGAAGCGTGTAGCGCAGCGGTGGGAGCTACGGGGCGCAGCTACTGGAGCGCAGCCTGTCCGCTGACAACGAGTTACGCACTCACTGCAAGTCGCGGCAGCACATCGTGACAGCAAACCATTTGGAGCCAAAATGTCCGCAGCAATCTTGCCTCATGGAACCCAACATTGCACAAAGGCCGCAGCTGACCCCTGTTGGATGCCCAATCCGGCTTCCAAGCTTCTGACATCCACCAGGAAAAATGGGCACAAGGCAGTTGCGCCAAGCGGCAACCTTGGCGCACATCACAAAATTCGTCTGCTTCTTGCACATAGTTGTTCAATTGTTCTCATACGAGAACAGCTAGCTTCTGCGAAGACTGTTTCAATTCACTCAATGGTCTGGAATTTCGCGTCCAAGTCCGGGTCCGGGAAGGAACTGCGTCCAGTCGTGCCGCGAAAACCTGCGTACATGGCATGGGTGATCATAATTCGAGTGCCCAAGATCTTGAGTTCTCTCGGGGGTCTGGAAACTCATTTACTAAGGGCCTTTGACGATTAACAAAGTTGTTTTTTTTTTCGGTTTCGTCCTCCGGCTTCTTCACCCTGGTTAACGAACTTTCAGGGCTTGCTGCTGTTGATGATGGTGTTCAGTGCTTGGGCTGAACTTCTGTATCAGCTGTCAGACATGCACCACCCACACAATCAACTCTTTGACATCGAAAGCCTGCGGTGCACATGTTGTGACCAGAAGCTCATGCGCTCTGGCTTAACACACGAGCTCCCCCTGCTGCTCTCTTTGCTGGTGGCTGAAAGTGGCCACCAAAGCGCCTACAGGAAACGGGCATTTTGATGGCCGATAGCAATCACGCGCATTTAGCCAAAGGTCGTCGCTGAGTCCAGAGTGAAGGGAGTTGTTTCTCACCTGCTTGGGGCATCCTTCGAGTTTTCAGGGTTAGGGTTGACACTCACCCCCTAGGAATTTCTGGATTGCCTGGGACCCCCCCCCCGCCACCCTCCAGGCAACCCCTTCCTCACACTTCTAAGGCGGCATCGCGATTATCACTGTTTTGTCTCCACACACTGCACCCTGCTCTGGGCCGGCCCGGCTGCCGAGGCGGCGCGGTGCAAGCGTTTACAATAACACCACCCTCCCCTGTCCTGCCTTGCGAACGAAGACCTTAAAGAATGCGCAATTCCGGCGCAGGCTGTTAACCCAAAACTGCTTGCACGTGGCGGCTGAGGTTCGGACTGAGACTTGCATCGGTGGCATGCGAAGCTGCGAGTCAACGGCCTCACTGTGAGACGCATCGCGGCTGCAAGGTGCTGCAAGGTGCTGCAAGGTGCTGCGATCGTCATGCGTCAGTTCAAACCAAAGGCCCACGCTTGCACACGAAGTGCGGACTGGCCCTCTTCTGACCCCGTCTCAAGCTCGACCTGAGAGAAACAGGATGTAAGAATAATGTGCAAGAGTTGATTCTAGTTGGCGCTCTGCACGTCCGAGGAGGCAGCCACCTCTCCGGTCTCTAGCAACTGAATGATCCGGTCTTGCCCAACATCAACCTGCATCTGCGGGCACAAGTCACGAAGCTGTGCGAAGCTCACCAGCCGTTCGAGGCCTTCAGCTGCGATCGGGGAAGGTTAAAGTGCAAAAAGAGCCGTGCGTGTGGCGGCACCTTAGCGTCAATGATCATGAGCAGAGTGCCACTACGACGCCGCACGTTCCATACGCGAAGTGCCGCACCAGCAGGGATGCAGTATCCACATTGTCCACCACAGCCCATAAACCTAACATGGCACTCCCGTCGGCCAGTACAGTAGCGATCAGCGGTCATATACAACTTGGTGTACAAGTTGCACGCTTGCAAAAGCTTTGCAGACAAGGCGAGGATACAATGAATCACATTCCATCACGTTCACCTACGGCGAGGCAGCACAGCCTGTGGAGGGAGCCAGCAACGCAAGTGGCTGGACCACCGGTAGTAGACGCTTCGCCTTCGAACACATTTCCAACAGAACTCCCACTGTGGGGGGCTGATTCGATGATTCTAACGGCTTTTTGAGACACAAGAGCAAAGGCAGCAAAGGCAGCAAAGGCACCTGAAGATGCAGCTGCTCGTCTCCTAAACTTCCAAGCTTAACCGCTCAAATGCTCAAGCGCTGACACAACTGTCAAGCAACTATCCAAACACAGACACACGGGCCTGAGCCCAAAGGACAGGTGATCTGCACCATCACGTCTACCTCTTGCAGAAATGTCATCAGTATGCAGTGCTCCCCTTGACATATGCTCATGCTCCTCCTGTTGTCCAGCTGTTGATGGCACAGCCGGCGGAATCCGCACATCCACAGCCAGCGCCTGCTCAACGTGATCAACTCCGAGCGAGAAGCAAGCTGCCGAATGTGCTGAAGACAGCGTTCTCAGGGTCGTGCGCCAAAGCCAACGGGCTCCAGCACGACCGAGCTGTCCGAAGTCCAGCGGAAATGACACCGAAGGCCAAGCGCAGCCCCAGCGCCAGCGGAGTCGCGGCCGGTGAGGCCTTCCTCCATGGCCAAACGCTGTGCCGCTGCACTGGCTGCCTGATCACAGATCTGCTCATTGGTTCACAAAGGCTCCTGCACTTCTGCAGTGCACCACCTCTCGATCCTCTCGCGGTTGTCTCTGGCCTCCACGGCCTCCACCACAGGCTTCCTCATCTCCTGCGCTGCCCTGTACACTGTCCGACTGATCTCGGCACTGAAGGAAGGAGCTGCCTGCATAGGATCACTTGAACATCTTGAACTAGCTTTTTGAACTGGTGGAATTGGGCTGGCCTACTTTGTGGGTGGGTCTGGGCAGCAGGGGAGGGGACTGCCCCAACACGCTGCATTTTCTGCAAGTATCACTTCGACATATTTGAAGGCAAAAAACCTTAGAGCAGAGCATTCGTTATTTCTGTCCTTCTTTCCTTGTTTCCGTCCTCTTCTTCCTCGATCCTTCCCAGCCCCACGCCCGCTGCAGAGGTCTTCCTCCTAGTAGTTGTTTTTCGAGTACAGCATAAAGAAAATAGAGGTTACACAATAAAAGTTTTCGTTACCCCTCTCCGCCAACCCTTTTCAAAGAAGAAATCGCAAAACAAACAACATCACGACAAAATACACCCTCCATCCCACAGACCGCATCTGATTGATGAGTGTTTACAGGTATTCACCTTTTGGAAAACCCTTTGACACAACTCCGACAATGTCTCCTGAGGGATCTGAAGCTTTGAGGGTCTTCAGAGCTGCGTTCTGTGAACTTGGCGTGAACTGGCCTCGCTGCTGGCCATAGCGAGCAACACGGGGGTCAACTCCAGAGCTCCTCCGAAACGGGGAGTGTTCAGTTGTGAGTGCAAAGATTAGTGTAAAGTGTACTACGAGTGAGAACCTCACTTGAAACTTTCAGGAACTTCAGGGCATGGACCTGTCCTGACCAGAGTCGGGCCCGCAGCCTCAACGGCTCCAGGGTGCCGAGCCGCAGAATTCCCTCATCTCCCTCACCTTCTCTGTGTCCTTTGCGAATGATAGCGATGGATAAATATCACTCGGGGCACCCAGAAAGCACCCTTTCATGCCGCCAGTTCAGTCCTGATAAGGAGTCTACGGCACCAATCGACGCGTTCCACGGGACGCCAACTGTCACATACGCTCCTCACGGCACAAACTATCAGACATAGGCCGTTCCAAGATGCAGTCGCAGAAGCTTGATTTGCCTGCCGCGTTGCCATCTGCATGCAGTATGTGATAGTATCTGTCATGATAATCAATGATAATCAGTGATAGCGCAGCAAGAGGGTGTAAACAGCTCTCCTGCACGCGCAATCTCTCGGCGAGTGTTGCGCTCCAGTAGCTGTACCGAGAGCTCCGCCGAGCCAGGACTGCGAGCGATAACCAGGCCATCGCCTTCATCGATGCCTCTAAAGTGTTAGCTGAACTCGGCAGAACTCGGCACAACACAACGCGCAGGTGCAGACTGCCAACTCTGCAAGCCGTTCAGCTGCTTCAAAGCTTCCCTACACTCTGAGGGTGATACTGGCAACGGCCGAATCGCTCGACGTGAAGCGGAACGTGGTCCGCTCATCGCTTCGGGGCGGGCCCCCGGTGAAAGTCAGCTCAAAGGCCTGACCTGACAGTTGGAACATCTCAATTGCACGGGCAGCAAAGCCCTGACCGGGCTGCGGAAATCCCCATGCTGTGGGATTTCCCCTGTAAGAAGGGTAAAGAAGGTCCACATGTTTCAATGTTTCAACACTTGCGGATGTACAGAAGCCAACATCGCGACCTTATGAAAATATTGCATTTGCCAAGGCGAAAAGTGCCTGATGCTTTGCCGCTATGCCAAGGCCAAATGCCTGAATTGCCTTCGTTCGTTCTGACCTTGTCGGACTGGGATGATTGATGCTGATCACTCGTGCACCATAAGCTGTTCAGAAATGTTCAATGTCTTCAACTTGTCGACTGTACAAAAAGGTGAGAACTTGATTTTAAATTTCTGTCGACGGCAAGCCTCACGAAATAGGTTCGAGCTTCTGGCGTTTTGCCTTTTCGGAGCTTGCGGTCACTGCGAAGCCCACAGTTGCAGAATGCGATTCTGTGTCGGCACGGGCAACCGACACAAACGAAACATCTGCCGTAAACCCCACTTGTCAGAGGAATCAAGGCTTTGTCTGCCCTCCCCCCAACCCCCGAAAGGCCTGAGCCACCCGGGCCTAGTGTGGCTTCGGGCTCAAAAGAAAGCTGGGCCCGTGAGGCTCAGGAACTTCCTTAGCCCCCTGTGTGGCCAGCCCTGTTGCCTCAGGCTGCTGAGACCAGGTTTTGAAAAGTCCCAAACCCAGACTAAAGTAATCAAAGTGCAGCCTGAAGGCGCAAGCATGCGCAAGCCCTTTGTAAAGAAACTCAAGGAGAAACCCAATTTGAGAAGAAACTTGTATTTTGGGTTGTTTGGGTTTGAAGGTTTGGACGGCTTGGCTTTGAGAATTTCAAGTTTAAAAAACTTGGTTTAAAGAACAACTTGACTTTATGGAGTACTTTAGACTTTAGCGGACCCCACCCTGGACCCTTAAACAGTCGCACGATCCTCAATAGCCTGGACCCCTACGAAAGCAGCCCAACATTACTTTGGCTAAGATTCCCTCTTCTGCCTCATGTTTCACCGCCGAAACGGGAGAATGCTCAGTGGATCGAGAGTCGAGAGACGGTGACTAAGACATGGTCGAACCTTCAGTGCGCGCAGGGATGATCAGACCGCCTTAGTAACCTCAAAATGTACACCTGCAGAAGACCTACAGTTTCGTTCGGGCTGGACTCATGGACACAATGGCGAATTGCCAGCTAGGATGAACAAACCGATGGAGACAAAAGCAGGTTCAATGGCAACTACAACATGAGTTGGACCCTTTTTTGAAGCTCTGAACTGTCAGCAGGCGAACTGTGAGAACGTCTTGCGCCTGGCATCACGACGATGTCCTTCAGGACGACATCGAATCTGAGCGCAGATCGTTTCAGCAGCTTTGGAGCCCTTCATCTTCTGCATCTGAGGGCAATGCTCTGGCAGGCAATGCACGTGGAGCACGCGTGAGTAGATGGTCCCGCTTGGAAAGTCCTCTGACTTTCTATCAGGTGGGGTCGAGCGCGCAGTGGCCTCTTAAATGCCACAAACGAACATGCCAGTTCCTGACATCAAAAAGGCCCTGAGCCAAGACCTCTTTGATCCTTTTCTAGCCCTCCCGAATGACACCGCTGGTATCCATTGCTCCTGCATCTCAGCTGAAAGGCGATAAATGCCGGGAGTGTGGCAAATGCACCTCAGCCAAAATCCTCCTGTGAAATAACATGCGTTCCTTCGCGAGAACTGCGGTTATCTCACGCGCAGTTGTTGCAGCAACAGCAGCAAAGGCGCTCGTGCTGTCCGCATCTTGTGGTGCTCTCCCGGACCTCGAAAGCTCCTCGCAACCCAGCACGTGGGACAAGTACCGTTGGTCTCAAACGATTCAGATGATACATGACAGTCGCATGATGTCGCATGCCAGGTCATGACGTCCACCCTGCGGTGCACGTCCCCTGGCTTCAGCCCAGCTGAGGCGGGGCAACATGGGCAAGTGTTCAATTCCTACGATGCACTTAACTCGTGGAACAGGGTCCCTTGGGCCGTCCCTTCCGTCTCCTGGGTCGCTGCTCCTAAGCTTGAGCTCCAACGCCGCCCAGTTCACCATGCCCAGAGCCTCTTACACATGACGGGGATTGGCAGAAAGGATAAGGAGAAAAATTGCAAAGGCGCATTGGGTCAGAATTGCACGTCACATGAGTCGCTCTCTCTCTCTCTCTCTCACTCTCTCTCCCCCTCTCTCTCTGACTCTGTTTCGCCTCGCCCTCCGCATCTCGAATGTCGACTCGCAGCTGCCAGAGCACGCCGCGCACAACTGTCACCTCCGCCTGCGCGTCCTTCGAACTCCCCAGAAACAAAGCGGACGTGGAGAGCACTCAATGGAGACGAGATGAGCCGAGGGGTCGCGGGAAAGTCCGCAAAGCGCACCACCATGTGCAAACATATGAACATCTGCACCACGAGCCGCAATGCACGGAAGGACAATCTCGGGGTGTGTTT